TAACAGACTGATATTAGCCATCTAAAATTTCGTTGTGCATGTAAGTTGTATGAGTATAACTGTAGTGCGTCGAAGTGAAGCCTAAGCGCCCTTTCTTCTCTTCTAGTAATAGTAGTATGCGTGGAATAGCGTATGGCTCGCGTGCAGGTAAGCAGACAGAGCTGTAGCGTTGAGCGTCCCTTCGAGGTTCCCAAATGCTTTGGCTAGCTCAGATATCATAGATAAAGCTTGGTGGGTCAGCAAGGAACACGAAGACGACATCGCCAATGCCAAATTCCCATATCCCATTAAGCGCTTTGATCTTTTGTTGGTTCAAGTTTGTAGCATCACCCGATGCATTGCGTCTTGTATGGAGCACAAGAGCACCTCCATCAACTGCTTGCACGACATCCGGAGCAGCGTAAGAGCGAGGCCGGTCGCGAGCTGATATTCGATGCCGGTAACGGGAGGGCACGCTGCACCGGGGCCGTTACGGGTCAGCAAACGCCGCTGCGAAAGTTGGACTGCGGCTTTCCGCATTTGTGGCTGCTTGTATAGGTGAGAGCAGCAAGCTGCGCGAGCACCGCAGGCTGTATCTGTACAACCGGCACTAGCAGTAGCCTCATTATACAAGCAACCAAGTCATCAGGCAGCTTGCACATCCAGCTTCTGGTCCCTAGCCTGGGCTGCAATGCCTAGAGGGTAGTCGAGAGTGGTTTGCCGATCGCTTGGCTGATGCGTCAGAAGAGGACGATGAGCGGTGATCAGAAATTATCAATTGCACGCATATGCCCCATTCTGAGGAAAACAGAGCCTCTCCGCCTCAGAAGACAAATGAATTCCATAGCCAAGCCGCTTGATCCTGCCAAGAGGAGTACCATTGCAAACATTGGCAAGGCAGACTTGACTCAAGGGAAGAGCTCATGCTCATATCTGTCGGGAGTTGTGATACTACTACTAGCATTGGGACGCAAGGATATATTTCGCGTAGTATCACTGCCGAGCAGATCAGCGGCAACGGCCAACCCATGCAAGCTCAGCAATGCACTCACCGTGCTCCGTTCATTACGCCAAGCGGCTATCAAAAACTATCATATGCCTTCTTTCAGGTCGTGCTCAATGGGCGTTCTAAGGCGATGATGCTACACGCACAACTAGCCGCAAATAATTAGCCCAGAGCACTAGCAGTTCGCTGAAATGTGCCAAGGCTTGGTGACACAAGCGGCAGACGGTGGATGGAGACAAAAGAGATACAAGAGAGACAAGAAACAAAAAAGGTCGCAGCCACAGCTCGAGTACGTACCGTAGCGCAGCAATACGCGTGCACACTCGCCCAGCCCGCAAATAGAGGCAAGTAGTAAGAGCATACTAGGGAAACACTACGTATCCCGGCTTCAGGCAGCAAATGAACAGATGCGGGCGTGATGTCTGATCGGTCGCCCAGTTTGGACTCGTGGGAGGTGCGTACAGATGAGGAAGTCTGGAGGAGGAGTGGACTTGGCGGTTCATCCAACTTCCAAGGTTCTTCACCAGGCACAGCACAGCTGCATTGCATAGCGGACAGCACATTACTTTCCAGAAGGGTCTGGCCGCTGAAGGCTCTTGGCGAGCGCATGTCGTGGATCAGATACGGCACCTTGAGATTGCGATGACCGTCTTCTTGGCAGGCACCTATTGATAGCGAAAGTGCCTACACGCTACATACAGGCCAATGACTTATTTTAGAGCACTCTGCTCGTCATGCTGATCCTCTGATAAGTCTCAGCGAGGGCTGACATGACCGAGACTGCACTGTGCCGTGCGGTAGCTTTTCAGTTGGGGGTAGAGAGACTCCATTTCTGGAGGTGTGGTGCGTGCTGTCACTGATGGCCGGGCGCTATGCAATCAGTAACGAGCGAAGCGAAGCGAGCCTTGGCGCCAATACAAAGGGGGAGCCGTGTAGGTACACAGCGCGTACCTCGTATCGGGTACTCCATACGTCGCGCTGGCAAACATCAGGGCGCCGGTACCATGTACTGCCGAGCTTCAATCCTGCAGCACCAGCCAGTGAAAGAAGTGATGGATACCTTGCCACTGACGAAATTCCGTTATCTATAACTTCGTATACTCCGAACATAGGCGGTGATATATGTTAGTAATTCAGTAGTGTAGTAGGTAGTAGTCATTAGGTATAGCATGCGTGGAATAATATAGTAGTGGCCGTTAGCATCAATTTCCTGCGGTGCTCCTTGACGTCTTGTGCACCGGTGGCTGTAGTGTCTTGCCGCTAAAGGCCTTGGCATCGACTCAAGGGACGACGGATGTACTCAGGTACGCGGGTACCTTGGATTTGCCCTCCTCGCAGCGTACCGTGGTACCTCGAATCATTTCCTGCACACTCCTCGTCGGATCCCTTCTTCACCCCCCCTCTGCTTCAACTCTACCCTCTAGATTTTCGGTTCCAAGCAGGGCCTCGATTTGCACATTGGGGTTTGATTAAATGCCTCCACCTCCCACGCTCTGGGTCATTTTCTCTACTCTTTCCTGCATTGGCCTTGGCTACTATCTGGCTTCACGTCAAGAAGAAAGCAGAGGAAGACAGCAAAGGGCACCACTGGCTAGGTTTGCTCTGTCAATCCTCCGTTCTTGCAGCTTGTTTTTCTGTTTACTTACTCTTCAGTTTGCCTTGTTCATATACTACGGCTTTTCCAATTCTTGCGACTGCTTGCCAGCTACTTCTCTTCTCTTCTTCACATATCGATGCTTTGAATCAGAAGCCAACCTGCATCGACATTACCAACCCAACATCGCCCACTTGATAGACATACACACGCCATAGCTCTCCAACTAACAAGAAATGAGGGAATGATGAGAATATAAAGCTCAAATTTAATCTTTCGGTAAAGGCATCAAACTCCTCATCCACATCGCCGCCACTATCTGTGGAAATCCGGTTTTTCTCAGCGTTTATATAACATCTCCCTTCCTTTCGTTGTTATCAGCAGCCATTCATTCGGTTTTTCATTTTCAAATCATCTTCGTCCACCTGTGCACGCGCTTCACCTGCCTACTTTGAGAGCCAAGCTCTGCTTCGGCAACACCGCGGACTTGATTCTTCTCGCCTTCTAGCCCAGACTTCGCTGGCTGCTGAGTGGTTGAAGCACCGGCCCAATTACGTCGCCATACCCCCCCTCACCATTTGGGGATCCCCCTCTTCACAGGATCGGCCCCGAATCGAACGCTTCTAGAGAAGGTCCAGCAGCGTTTTGATTCGATCCAAGAGCGGCGCCCAGACGCTAAAACAGCAACGACGGCTTCCTTGTCCTTTTCTGCCTTTTTTCCACAGCGCCACTTCTGTGACGCGCATAAACAAGACCAAAAAAAATTCAAAGGGAAAAAGGGAAAATCAAAGATACAAGTCCCTTTTCCCGAGGTGCATCGCTCCCCGGTATAGTGGAGCTTAGTGACCCTTGGCCATCAAAGCGTGCTGTTTTTTACATCGAATCGATTTCTGGATCTGCTAAAGCTATGGCGCTTTCAGCATGTCCGGGGCTGCTGGTTTCTCCAGCTTCAGCGCCAGTAGCGCCGCCAGCAGCCGCACCCCAGCCAATTCCGGCTCCAGCTAGAGGTGAGTGACTTATTCGCAGTTAGATAAGCCCGGCCTGCATTTACCATGGATGGATCCTTGAATGGCAATTCAAACTGTTTCCGCTTTCCTGTTTCTGCTTATTCCCTCCCTCCTTCAAAAGGAAGCTGTGGCACCTGCAACGCCTCGTTTTCTGCTGCAGGTTTTTTTTCTTGGCATGCATCTTCCCCTTCCGCGCACTTTCGCATGCTGCTGGATAGCTTATTGATATTTTTTACTCCAAATCCTTTTTTATACTTTCCTATTTGCACTCTTCTTGTTTGAACCCGAATATATACTCTATGCTGACACTGCTCTTCAGCGGATAAATGCGCGCAACCGCTTCAGCGCTCCCCCAGTATCGGCTCCTACCTCATCACCTCGACCTTGCGCCAACCTCCAGCCGACTTCCCAGACCCAGCTTTCGAGGGCTACGAGACTGAAAGCGAAGGCCCCATCGAGCCTGTTACACCTGTCAGCGGCCGCCAATCGCGGGATTTCACGTTGAGGCATGCATATGAGCAGGATTCGGACGACCTTGGCAGTGTCAGCTCTCAGCAGCATTCAACCGGCGTTACAGCAGCTCCAAATAAGCCTGCTCTCCTCCCGTCGGTTTTCCGCAAGACGGTAAACGCAGCAGCATCTCCGGGAGCAGCCTCTTCCCTGCTGAGTCCGACCTCAACCTCTAGGCCAAGCTCCAGCGACTTTCTCTCTCCTGCTATATCAGTGCCAGCTGTCTCAGTTTCAAACCCGGAATCAGAAACCGCAACTTCATCCACACTGGTGCCTACTCTCAATAATAGCAGCAAGTCTTTTACACATTTATCCCCTACTTCGAGCCGGCCCTCTATCCTGGAACCTCCCTCGCCATCCAGACTCTCCACCCGGCTTTCGATCTCGAGTCTCAGAAGCACAATGACCAACTTCTTTCGTCGCCCTGGGACGCAGGACACTGCTATTTTTGATACCAGCTCGCCTATTCCTTCCGAGGTCTCCTATCTACAGCGGCCACCAACGAGCAGCGCTCGCCCGGCCACACGCTCAAGTCGCTTTTCTTTTACCAGGTCGTCTAATGCCACTACCCGGTCTAATTCGCCTACGCCTCCATCCCCGGGGACTCCTTCTGTCGATAGATTGTCTATTCAAGATGAAAATTCGCTCAGCGAGGATACTAATCTCAAGAAAAAGAACCGTGCGTCAACCGGTTTCAGCCTGCGGGGCCGTGCTATTGGGTTTGTTGGCACAGCAAAAGGCCGGCCTGGAAAAGCTGTATCGCGCCGTGCTAGTAGCTTCGACGCTGGGAACCGCGGGCCTCTACCTCATCAAGGCAGCAAAGCTCCTAATGGCCAAACATATCCTCCTGAGCGGCTCCCTTGGGCGATGCCGCCTGAGGCTGGCACGGGCGCCAAGGCCCGTCGTATGAGCTTGAGCTTGCCGGACGATTTCAACGTGGATGTTGCTGAGCTACAGGACGAATTCGAGTACCAGAGCAAGCTTTTAGGTCGCCACGGCAAGCATCTCGGAAAAGGGGCTGCCTCCAAGGTCTCGCTCATGGTTCGCAAGGGCTTCCCTGGCGAAATGTACGCCGTCAAAGAGTTTCGTAGCAAATCCAGCCGCGAAAGCAAGGCAGAATACGAAAAGAAAATCAAATCAGAGTTCAGCATCGGCAAGAGCTTGCACCATCCCAACATTGTCGAAACTGTTCGCCTGTGCTCAGATCATGGACGTTGGAACCACGTCATGGAATACTGCTCCGAGGGTGACCTGTTTAGCCTTGTGCAAAAGGGTCATTTGAAAGGCGATGCTAAACTCAAGGATCGCCTCTGCCTCTTCAAGCAGCTCGTCCAGGGTGTCAACTACCTCCACGCCAACGGCATTGCTCACCGTGACATCAAGCTTGAAAATCTACTCATTACAAAGGATAGCAAACTGAAAATCGCAGATTTTGGTGTCTCCGAAGTCTTTTGTGGCACTCATCCCGGACTCCGTGAAGCTGGCGGCCAGTGTGGTAAGAACATGGGAGAGATCCGGCGTTGTTCTCCGGGCATATGCGGCAGCGAGCCCTACATTGCGCCTGAAGTGCTACAGAAGAAAGGAGACTACGATGCACGAGCTTTGGACGTATGGAGCACTGCCATTGTCATGATCTACATGACTTTTGGTGGCGGCATTTGGTCCAAAGCCGAGGCCGGTAACCTCCACTACGACAAGCTGGTGGCCGGTTGGGAAAAATGGAACAAGAAGCACCAAGACGATGGGGATGCCTCCATCACAGAGACAGACTACCCCAAGTGCCTAGCCTTTGATATGGGTGTCAATCCTCCGCCTCTGCGACGCATCTTGCTACAGATGCTTAACCCAGACCCCAACAAGCGAATCTGCATCTACGACGTGATTACGAGTCGCTGGGTAAAGAATATCGAATGCTGTCAGCTCGAGTCGTACGACGATCCCAAGCTCACAATCGATGCGACAAAGAAGGATTACGGCGCCAAGAATGGAAGCAAAATCTTTTGCCATAACCATTTACCAACCAAGAACTTTGGTAGTCATTCGCTGGGTAAAATGCCGGGGCAGGCCGGCTACTAAGAGACGTTGTACTACTTGCAAAGGTGGCTCTCGTCTGCCAGTATCTGTCAACACTTTACCCTCTATTCGACCCCTACTTTAGAACCTCTTTGCATTAATTATGCCCCTCTTTTTCTTCTCTTATCCAAGTACATCGCGGATAATGGGCGGCGACAAATAGCCTTTTCATTTCTCCTTTAACATTCTCACTTTTAATCCAACGCCTTTGGTTCAATTCATTTTGGGATGTTTTCTTTTAATCTCACTTTTCTTGGGGGATTACAATATTCGGGTCAACGGCAGCATTTATTGGAGTTGGGGATGAAACAAGCGACCTGAAAGAAGGTCAGCTTGGCTGGTGTTTGTTGTTGGGGGTTCCGTCATCGTTTTACAGCTTTCCCAATGCGCTATATTTGCTATGGAGGCCTTTTTGTCTTTTGAAGACCTTCTGCACACTTTTCAATTACAAAGTACATACAAGGGATATATGCGGTCGTAAACCGATCCCGCCCTTTTTCTCTTTGTTCCGGGTTTGTCTACATGCATCAAGTCGGGGGGATGAGTTTACGCGAGTATCATGTAATTCCATCTTCTTATATACTCATTGGGAGTGGCGGCAAATTCTTTGAAAAATGAAACCTAAGTTTATTTTTGAGACTTTAATCAATCTTATCTACTTTGTCCTTTGCCTCCAATATATGGGATGCAGCTAATGTGACGATGACTCAAATAGACGATAGAAAGTCGTCACAGGTAAAAACGCAATGCGCTTTATGCCTGAGATGAGATACAATTTTTTTTTTTGATAGACTATTGAAGATACCTTAGATATTTTTTAAACAAGTCTTGTTGATAAATTCTAAATACCAATTGTTTGTGGTGGCTGGAAATGAAGTATCAGCGCTCCTGCGGCTGAAAACGGCATCTTGTCTAACACGGACCGACGGCTCGTCATATGTGACGAAATGTTTAACGGCATCATGTTACCTGCCACCTGCCTTACTACCAACGGGTAGGGGAAGGAATGTAACTGTGGTGAGACATACGGACGCTTCACGTGGCATGCTTGATTGAACTACAGCAACTAGTTGACGATGGCGAATGACGGACGATACTGTAAAAGGGCATTTGAGACCATGTAGAACTATCACCGATCTACTAATATTTGATAGTGGTGAGACTGTGGCAAAGAAACGGCTCCTGTGACATTTGAAAAGCCCGCTAAACGTGGTCTTCAAAGGGTTACAGCTGATAGATTTCTCCGACATTAGCAAGGGGGTGAGAGCTGAAGGCCGCTTATGCAGCGAGGCAAAAGGGAAAAAAAAAAAGAACAGCATCGCCAGGTAGGAGCGGTATTACCAACCACCAAGTAGGCTAGATGCTAGCTGCAAGGCCACGGGGCATGAGCATGCAAGCACCAGTAAAGAGAGAACCCTGAAGCAGCTAGTAATTCGCCGTTTGGAAAGGGCTGTCGTATCGCCTTTGAAGATTGGCATGTGAAGGCATCCAGCTGGAGGGTGGGTTTGATCCTGTGGACACGCATGCGTTGTCGAAGTAGATCCTCTGTCAGCTATTCACAGTACGGACATCCCTTCGTTGGCCGACAGAGCGCTTACACAGAGCGATCGCCTCTCTCCTATTCTGTGCATGAAAGCACAAGCTTCTTCCTCGAGGACCCCTCTCTGCTGAAACGGCGCACAGACGCTGGAAATGATAGTATCAGTGCTGTGTCGGAATCTGGCCGTGGATCCTCGCCCTACGGCATCTTCATCCGTCATCGAGTAGCTTGCGCATTATCTGTGGCACCATGTAGCATGTAGGTACCGTGGCAGCATCGTCGAATTAATGATGGATATGCATCCGTCCCGCTGCCGAGCGATAGCTGCCGGCTTGGCAGCATGTCAGCCGCAAGGGGTCGGATGTATGTACTTTGAGAGAATTTCCAGCCCGTATCTTTTTGCTGCGAAGGAAAGTGGCTGCTATGCGTCGGTCAGTGGCTTCGTTTGCATTTTGCGATATCGGCTGCACGGAATGGGAAATCATCGCTGTCAAGGTTCAGGGCACGGATGAGCGTTATCAATCCGAGAGTGCCGAGCGATCCGACCCATCCATGTGATGCTTCACGAACGAGCTAGAGGCTTGATTTGACGTCGTAGGTCGGAAAAAGACCGCATGCTGCTGCTGAAACCACAGATTTAGATGTATAGGACTGTATACGAAGAAGGAACCGCCAGAGATTGGCGCAAACTAGGTTTTAGCCTACAAAAGCAAACCTTTTGGTTAAGGTTGTCTAGATCGCCCCTACCCGGCCGGGTCCCCTCTCCATGACCCCAGCCGTTGCCGATGTGCCGTAGATGGTGTGAGTGCTTCACGGGAGGCTGTTCCTTGGAAGAAACCCATAGGAGGCTCTCTAGATGTATGCGGTACTTGGAAGCGCCTTGTGAGATGCCCTTTGCAAGTAGCAGATACTTGCGCAGCTTGACAGACCTCCAACTCAAGACACTAGCATCCTATGAGATTTCTTCGAACGGGCGTGTGCAGAGGGGCACGCTTGGGGACCACTGACTTAGTATATCACTGATCGACCTACTGGTCGTACTAGGCCGGCCTGCTTCCGAGATAGATTGGGGGCCAAATGTTCCGCAATCTACACATGCTGCTTAACTCTGGAACTAAGCAATGCTTAGCAGCAAGCTTGAAGCAGATCTCCTCGGAGATGGCACCGAAGGGACGGTTGGCGCGCCAAGAAACGGTCGACTTGCAATCTGCCACGAAGGCTTATACGTAAGAACGTCATGTAAGGGAAGCATCCTTCAAGGCCGTACTGCTATGGCCGTCCGTCTGCTTCGCTGGCTCCGGCAATGGCAATACCAAAGGTGACGTCAATCAATAGCGTATGCATATGTACGCAGTGAAATCTATTTCCGTCACCAAATCTTGTTGCTGACTATGTGTAGCTTCTTTCTTATGCGTCGATATTGCGGTCTACTTCACGATGCAGGGCGGTCGAAACACATGCCGAGCATAGAAGATCCAAGGTCGAAATCGAGTGGATAGCTCTGAGAGGCATGTTATTAGTAATTGTATGCAATGTAAGCTTTCTGGTTTGGAGTATACCTTTTCAAGTTGCTCGATTCGATGTGGCGAGTCGGCTCAACTGCTATCCAGTTATCGGTGCCAGGGTCGGAGTTATGATCGTAACAATTGTCAGATGGTTGTAAGTCTTGTACTTTGGAGATAGTCTGAGTGTATTCAACGATAAATCAAAGTGGAATCACTAAGGAAAATTTAAGTCGTAGTTGGAAACACCTTCGAGGATGAAAGAGAGCAGGAGTGGTCAATGTCACATGATACGTCTCGACTGGTGCTGTACAGCTGCCATATTCTGTTTAATTTGCTGCTTAACACAAATACTGACGCTTCTGAATAGACAACTTCTTCCACGTCAATAATAGGCTCACGAAAGCTTTCAGCAACTACCGCATCCTCGTTATTCGTGCCATTAGCAAAAGTATGTGCCGGGAAAGCAATTGTTTCAAACTACGCGCTATATTGGCCTAACAACGCGCGGTAAGGCCATAGAGATGGAGGACGTCAAACTTTGAATTCGTCTATTCGTGTGACGATCGTTGAGTTCGAAATTCTCGCCGGTATCTACGTCGAAGAGAAGCTCTGTGAACCTTTGGGCCGCTATTTAGCGCCCATCATAGAGGAGGTTTCGATCCAGCTCGCCCTAGACCTGCTCTCGCGGAATTGTGACCTGTATCTGTAAAATGGTTGCGAAGAAGTTGGAAGCAAAACCAGGTCTCCTGCTTTGCCTGTTGGATGCATCGACAAGATCACAAAGGAACTTGGAGAAGAAGGGGCTTTAACTGCGTTGCAACAGCAGAAGCTGGTTCAGTGAACCCCAAGGGCCAGCCCAAAAGTTCTTCTCCGATTTTGTCATATTTTTGCGACAAGAATAACCTGTTTCTCCCCTGGCGTGACCACTCTCCGCCCATCATCACAGCTGGGCCGTGGGTCCAGCACTCCGGAGCCCAGCAGCCCATTACAAGTCCAAATGGCCTCTTCACGCCAAACTCTCCTCTTCTGAGAGTCGTCATCCTGGATACCGAGTAAAACCACCAGTTGGTAGCTGAAGAAGACGTCAGCTACCGGAAAGTCTACATATACATCTAAAGCATTTCTCAATTCTGCTACCTTGGCGTGGCATGCTTCGATGTGGCAACGAATGGACATTGGGTGAAGTCTATACCTCAAAACGGCTCAATATCGTACTCAGAAGAGGCTTTCGACAAAGCAAGGGAACTTTCTCTCCACCAGCTAAATATGGTTGGAAAGCTAATTCAAGATTGGATATCAGTCTATAATACATTTGAAGGCTCTCTACATTCATCGTCTATTCACAACTGTTGGTTCGCATTAGCAAATCTCTAAAGATCAGAACATGACTCTGGCATTCTATCGCAGCTTACTTCCAGTACCAGTGGCAAGTCCAAGTGGCCAATTACCTAATGAATCATTTACAGAGCTTGCGTACAACCTGGAGGCTGTGATTTCGTTTTTCGATGGCTCTCAATAATAAAGCAATCATTCTAAAAAGCCTAATATTTGCCTCGATCGCAACCTGGATGGCCTTCCACAACACAGCAATTGCTCTTTGGAAATTCGCCATGCGAAGACCATCCAGATTCTGTATGCTCTCTTTATTGGGCTCTCTGAGTTTACAATTGAAGCTACTTTTAATGTAAAATTACAGCGGAATCGCCATATTGTAGACCATTTGTACTCTGTTTTGTTGACAGTGAACTCGGGTTGAGTACCCGACATCCAGCGTCATAACATTCATTAAGAACCCAAAATTAAATGACATCTCCAACTTTTGAGTTCGTGACATGATCGGCTGTTTCTTAAGAAGCATATTATTAATGCTTTCTCAATTCTGGGTGCGCGCGATCTCAACAACATCCAACACCGCCATCCACAGCAAGCTTTCTAAAAGCTAGCCCACCGTCAGATCAGGCTCACGTTTGGTTGCCACAAACTTCAGCTATATTGACACTGAGTGTATCTGCACCTGCAGAACTAAAGAAATTCAATACATAATCTATCTCAAGTTGGAAAAGTGAAACTCGCGAAAAGACCTGAGCCCTGCCAAAGTGACGCGGAAGTCAAAGCTGTTACGTCATTGTAGGATTTAGGGCCTGTATCATAATAGTGCATGGTTCGATTTCGAAGACTAGCCCTTGAGTCTTGCTCTTTCAATCAACTTTCCAGTCCTCGCAACTAAGCAACGTCAAAAGTATCGTCAAATACGCTATTTGGCGCTTTCTGAATCGGTGAATACAGCATTGCTGGATTCGTGAAAATGCAACTCTCTGGACCATCTCTGGTCGCCGTCGCCACCGGCGTGGTTGGCTCGGCATGGCTATCTGGTAAATTCTAATCCCTCCAGTCAAATTCCCAGATTACCGCAAGGCGATTGGTTTTTTTTTTTTTCTGGATTTATCTAATCCGTTCATCTAGGAGCCATCATGTCTTTCTCGATTGGAGGCGCGCCCGCTGCCGCCGCAGTGCAGCATTCTTCCGCCAAGATCTGGGCTGAGCTTTACCAGCGAGGAGCTGCGTCTATGCCAAAGTTTGCTATCGGCACTGCTCTCGCCTACTTTGTCGCGGCCTATGATGCCTACGGCGATGGCAGAGCTTGGGGAAGCTACTTGGGAGCTGCTGGACTCACCCTATCCATTGTGCCCTTTACGCTCACTGTTATGAAGTACACCAACGGATTACTTCACGAGGAGGCCAAGAAAGAGGCCAGCGAGAAGGATGACACGTCTGTGGCCCGAGTGAACAAGTTACTGGATCACTGGATCACTTTGAATTTTGTCAGAGGCTCTCTGCCACTTGCAGGGACAATCCTTGGTGCTTTCACCTTTCTCCGCGAGGCTTTGTAAAGGTACGAGCACCAGTAATTGCTCTTGGGAGGCGAGTCTCTAACAAGTCCATAGGTGCCGCAATTGCACGCCGCTTTCAAATTCCTTCTGGAGTTGTAAGATTGTGAAAATAATATGTGGATTCGTTTACTTTTCCTACGTTGCCAATGTCCGCCGAGTTTTACAGAGTGCATTCATTGTTTTTAACTCAGATTTTGTAATACAATAGGTTCCCCAATCTGGGTGACAGGTCGGACAGGCAAACGTGTAGGTAATTACACAAAGATCAAAACAAAGTTAAGATATGACAAGAGCACCGATATGCTAAGAGTATATGTATGCGCTTGTGTACCCTGTACTGGATTCCGCATGACGGCAGTATTAGCTCTCCGTATAGTATGTGTATTACCCTAAATGAAAGAAAATAAAAGCAACGCGGATTTCTCAGATACACCACCATATTTGATTCACGTTTCACTATCGTAATATCTACTGCACCTTTCCATCGCACGCGAGCACTGTATTACAGATTATGATTTAATAAACGCCATATTAGCCATTTTTTACTCCAGGGATAGGTCTACTGTATAGGTCGTGGCATTTCAGCGGCATCGCAAATTATCATCTCGGTCAAGCTCCAGTGTCTTTGGCTCAATGGAAACACAGGTAGGACTGCTACTGATGGCATAGCTGGTCGCACCATTCGCATTACGAGAATATCACAAAAGAATGGGGGAATTGCTTCCTACCTGTAATTCTATCTTTGCTTTTTGCTGAGCGATGGCGCTGATATGCCAAGGCAGAAACGACCTCTCTAAAGTGAGACACTAGGAGCAAACATTGTCTTTCAGGGATGTCAATCCTTATCGTTGCGCTCAAGGCAGTAATGCTATTATTATATGTCGTACGGGACTTGTTCACGCCGGCTGATGTCGAATTAGCTGGAAATAGCTCATTGATTCTGGATACCGTGGTCGACTTTTGCAATTTCTGGGAAGCAAAAGACCATTCTAGCTTCAGTACGCACCCCACAAGGTCATAGAATAGCTGTAGTCATTATTTACTTCGTTAATCGATACACACAAGTATCAGTCTATCAAGATTAGGACTAAATACATGCTCAGACACAGAATCGATTCACAAATTGAACCAGGATAACAGTGGCCTAGCCAAAAGGCACATGGTCAAAGATGGGGGAGTTTGGTCAATCCTTCAAGACCTATTCTTGTTCAACAAGCTGTCAATGCCAAAATGGAGATCGCTGTATGCCAGTCAGCCTCAATGTGTACTCCCTCTCTCTTTCACTTCTCGGCAACTGCATTATCCGTGCATGCTATCCACTGATCGGTGGGACAAAGCTCATTGAGCTCGATTATACTCCGTAGGGCCTGTGCAGATCTGCGGAAGCACAGTTGTTAGCAGCTTGGCGCTTACAGTCGGCCATGGTGTCCGAGCTGAATACTTTGTCGAGCTTGAAGGGCCTCGGCGGGTTCTACAATACCCCGTAACACTGCAATGGTGCGTGCAGGCTCCTAGTCTATTGTTAGGACGTTCCGCTTGGAACGTGTTCTTCGTGATAGTCTCTGGAATCTCAATAGCATTGGTTTAAAAAAATTTGGCTGCGTATGATACAGCAAGAGGTACTGCTCCTCTTCGAAAAAATGTCACAATGCCTTTGCAAGCCCAGGATGCGACAATAAATCTGAAGCCACCCAGCGAAATAGCGAGAGTACTTGCAAAGGGATTCAGTTTTGAATTGACTTGCAGAATTTGTGTGACAGGATTCTAGCGGTCAGGTGTGACAAGCTGAACTCTGATTCCTATTCGACGCCACAAGTGCAAGGAACAAGGTAGATGCAGCGAGTATGGCAAAGGAGCGGCGATTAGCCTTTTGCCCGTGTTCCCTCTTGATCGGATGCTTTCCAAGGCCTTCGTTGCTTCAAACATGGATAGACCGATGGCCTATGTTAACACTTCTATGTTGGCACAGGTAACAGACAAATTGGATATGTGCCCCGTGTACTATGTGTGTCTCGAATGCTCGTCTCGTTGACGCAGATTTGGCTGCCTGGCGGTAGATCTCACGCTCGATGTCGATTCGCCACAATGAAGAGTGTGATAGTTGAAGGGCAGAGAAGAAGAGGCAGGCACTTCTTTCGTTCAGCTTCAGTATAATCCGCGTCTCAATAGTGGTCATTGAGCCGTCCGCGAACATTAATGTAGCAGTAGCAAACACTCGGCGTGCAGCCACGGGGCGAGCTGAACATGCACAGCTTAGACCAAAAGCTGGCTCTCCTCTTCTCTACCCCTCCTCTCTCTGGTAGGTGTCTCTCTGTAAATCTTGTCATTCTTTTTTCGGGCGTTCCGGCTGCCATATGCCCCTCCTGCCTTTTCGATTTCTTCGTGGAGTCTCCCATGTTGCTGTTCTCTCTCTGTGCCTGTGTTTCTTTCGTCTCGTCTTGTCATCGGATGCTCTGCTCCGTCCGCTGGTCTCAGTTAGGGTGTCTCTTAGCCCCTTGGCAGAAGATCCAGCTCGCCGGATCTGGGGTTACGACCAAACTTACCCTGGTCTCGAGTTCAAATCATTTCCCGCGGCCGTCGAATCGGATCTTTGAAGCGGTGGGTGTGGAGCGACTGCCCAGAGAGCATGATTGACAGCATGGTTTTCAGAATTTGAAGTGATTTTTCTTCCTTGGAATTTGATTTTTACTTTCTCTCTCCACTTCTGGCAATCATGATAGATCAGTAGTTGCTATATACAGAAGAGACTGTAAATTATTGGAGGCTGACTGGCAAGATAGGCATCCAGAAGACCTCTTTCTCACGTGATACTCTGAACTGCGCACAGACAATTCGAAGAGTCTTAGATACCTATATAATGGATCAATGGTGCCTCCATGTGATGGCAGCTTTGATTCCGTCACCTCTCTCCTCACTCTCAAAGCCCAACCACATGACTGTCTTTGGGCTCATTCGAGTGAACCCACGGCTGAAAGAGAACGAATCAACCGCTGGTGTGCGTAACAGCCATCCAAGACATCAGGGGTATTGGGCGCGCTGTTTCGAGCTGCGGCGAATGTTTGCTCCTTTGCATGCATGATATTGGCGCCAGCCTCGCAGCCTTTGGCGTCGTCGCTATTGGCATACCCAAGCCGCTAAAGCAAGTCTCGAATCCTGCTCGCTCTTCTGCCTTGGGAATATCTCTTCTATTCTACGGAATCCAATTTTTTTGCTCTGCAGAGGAGACAATTGTAGATTGGACTTACACTGACCAACTTGCGAACAATTCCAGATACGGCATCCTCCACCAATCTGCGCTCCACACATGGCTTTGCTGCCGGAGCTAGCACCATGATGGGGGCTCCATGTAGGAATACCCACGAAGCTACTGCAAGACGGGAGAAAAAGAGCCCTGGCTAATACTACTACTACTACCCGTCAAACTTGTCACTCGCAGATGGGTCCCAACCCAAGCCACCAAATTGCCGCGGTCAACACCGGTGAGGCACTAGTGGGCCTAGCTGGGATGTCTGCATCGAGTAGTCTCAGAGCTGAACGTCTGAGAAACATGAGAGCGACCAGGCTCTTACACGAGTTGCCTGGGAGAGCACTGTGGCGAGGAGCGATGATGAGAGCCGGTGGAAATGGGAGACAGCTAATAGAGCTGGTTCGTCTTTCGCTACCTTACACCATGGAACAGTATTAATATGGGACATTTCCCCCGCAATCACAGACCGGGCAACGGGCTCTATGGCCTTGGTTCCTATTCGCTGCAGGCTGGCTGTATGGCCACCACCACCACCATCAAAGGGTGCCTTCTGCCATACCATTTTCTGCCGACGCCAATGCGTGGTGAACACTGCAACTTTGGCGAATCAAGGAAGCTGAAGCAGACTCAAGGCCTCGAAGCACAAACAAACAAACAAACAACAACGCATAATTGTGGACCGTCCTTGGGGGCCGTCCCGGCATGGCGAGATTCTATTAGTTCGGGGAAGCCAGCGCAGAGCATGTACAAGCAGGCTCAGATTGCCCGTGCGCGTCCTGTTCTGCGGAGACAGCCTGATTCTCTCCATGTACCGGGACAAGCTGCCCAATGTTCATTGTTCACGAGTGGACCACTAGACGCCCATCATTGATATCCCTCCACGCTGCTTTGCGGCCTTATTCCTGCTGTTGACGTAGAGGGCTCAGTTGGTGTGAGTTGTGACCGAGACAGGCATTGCTTGCTTGCCATGCATGCTTTTCGCCGTCTAAATTGCATGCGTGTATCACACTGTTACCCAGTTCTGTCTTTGATTAGAATTTGTATATAAACAAGAGCTGCCCCAGTCTCTTGCGATGGCATTGTCCCCTTTTTCTTGCTTCACAAAGGACCATTACGGCAGCGTTTCTGGCTTGTTTTTTTTTATTGATTTTACTTTGTTTCCCTTGAACAGTTTGTTCTGACAAACCAGTGGTACATTCTTTCGAATCAATAACAACCATGCCTGTTACGACAATCCTTCAGCATGCAATAGAGCGAGATATACCTGCGACAGCTGGAGCTGACCCGGATACTCGTATGAGTAATACCGAGGGTAACGTTGCCCCTGATCATATCCCAATAGAGTCCAATTTGGACTCTGCTGAGAGCCGTTCCCCTGGGGCCCCTCGAGCTCCCAAAGGAAAAAGGACTGCGACGGCAATTTCTTCCAACTCGTTTCCTCCGCCAAAGCAGCCGAGAAAGGCCTCTGCGTCTACCTGTAAGCGTCAAAGGAACTCCTCCTCATCATCGACGCAAATCGCTTCAGAGACGAACTACTGCACTCTCGCAACTGAAGAACCCCTTTCTAGCGAGACTCTTTCCCTTGGTGCTTCCTTTTTTGCCCCTTTGGGCATTTCCAATAGCATGTTCAACGGCACGTTCAACAGCATGGAGGGGGCGTGGGAGCCCCAATTGACCTACTGGCATACTACTCCAGCACCTTTGACGAACTGGGCCAGCGAAAACCCTTTCCCCAATGCCTATGTAGCTGCAGAAGAGGCCTTCAATCTTTATGATAATCACAGCACTACTGCAAGCCCTTTCACGAGCCAAAGCAACAGCGAGCAGAGGTCTTCTTTCGCCAGTAGTGCCGGACACATATCGCCTGCTAGCTACTTTACAGCACACTCATCCCCTATGGGCTACAAACCTTCTCAAACAGCTCCCGAGGGCAGTGCTACGACTGTAGGCAATGACACTCCGCATTCTGCTTGAAACAGTTTCCTAATATACTCTACAGACCGCTAGAAACGAGCAGGTTCCAGAACAATATCCACAGGCGACTTACAGTCTACAGCACATGAATCAACAAGCGGTGACGAGTTCTCAGGAGGAAGAAGGAGCTCTGCACCAAGTGGCAGCTGCTCGGCTAGCAGAAATTCCGCAGCCAGCAATAGTCAGGCAGCCGGTGCCGACTATCGGGCAAGTGCCACCTGCAGAGGAAAAAGTGAATCCAAACCCACCCACCTCCTCGTCGTCCCGACCAACTCTGCGTTCTTCATCTTCTACACACCCAGCACCAGAGATGAACCCATCGTCAGAATCTCCCAACCCTGTCCCAGATATGATTACCAGATCCCAATCTCGATCTGCGGCGGCCCGCCAGAGGGCAATAAGTGAACGGCGTCGCCGAGCAGCTTCCCAGTCGGCGGCTTCACAGAACGCGGACGACTCTTCAGTGGCTGCGTCGGTGCCAGTGGCTGCTTCATCTCAAGTAGCTGTTTTGTCTGAACCAGTTACTCCATCCCAAGTAGTTGCTCCATCTCAGACAGCTGTTTCTTCTCAAGGAGCTCCTTTTTCTCAAGCTTCTTCTTCTTCTCAAGCAACTTCTTCTTATCGAACAGCTTCTTCTTCTCAAGCAGCTCCTTTTTCTCAAGCAGCTTCTTCTTCCCAGACAGCTTCTTCTTCTCAAGCAGCCTCTTCTTCTCAAGCAGCTTCTTCTTATCGAACAGCTTCTTCTTCTCAAGCAGCTCCTTTTTCTCAAGCAGCTTCTTCTTCTCAAGCAGCCTCTTCTTCTCAGACAGCTTCTTCTTCTTCTCAAGCAGCTGCTTCATCCCAAAACGTTCCACCCCAGGAGAATAGTTCCCATGCAGCAGAAGCTCTGCAAAGAGCACATCAAAGAAGGCTTGCTGCAGAGGCCACTCGTCAATTATATGCTTCGCAGTCTATTATATCTCCATATTTTACAAACATCGCGCAGCATATTCCTTCACAGTCGGCAAATTCCAGCACCTTCTCCACTCCTTTCTCTTCTAACTATGATGGGCCATCTCCGGCACTGTCGAATGCACACTTTGCACACCCACAGTTTCCAGACTTTGGTCGTTTTCCATATACTCAAGAGGGAGCCCATCTTTGCGGACAGGAGTACGCACACTCAGAAGCTTTGGGTTCGGACTATGGGGGCCCAAGATCGGCTGCAATACCAATGAAGGTTGATCCGGCATTTCAACAGCCGCCTGGCATGAGTCCTCACCTGTCACAACCATATCCAATTGTGCATTCTCAGGAGATCAAAAACGAGCCTTGGACGTCTTACGCAGCACCAGGTTCTAGCTACGGACCCCAGGGCGTACACGATCCCTCTTGGCACAATGGACAAGCCATTAGAAGGGGTAACCCAGGGGATGATGTCCAAGAGGGTTCGCGGGAGGCATGGCAAGCCGCGAAAAATGTGAATCCGGAACGCAGAGCCTTGTCGAGGGCCACGTCCATGGCTCCTTCGAGCCAGCAAAATGCTACCCGGCGACTTGCAAGCTTTACTCCTAGTATTCAAAGACAAACACCTCAACAGGCCCATTCATACGAGGGGTCGTACGATTATCTTCGGCCAAATGCTGCTCAGCGACTCCAAAGTTTTACGCCCAGCATTCAGGGGCAAACGTCTTCACCAGCTCAGCCATACGAGGGGCCACGCGAAACTCGTCGACCAAGTGCTGCCCAGCGACTTCAAAGTTATACGCCTAGCGTCCAGGGACAGACACCTTCACAACAAACTCATGCAGACGAGAGGTCACGCGAAAGTCTTCGAGCAAATGCTGCCCAACGACATCAAAGTTATACGCCTAGCATTCAAGGACAGACACCTTCAGCCCAGCGACTTGAGAGTTCCACACCCGGTAATCGGAGACATAGACTTTCATCCACCGATTCAGACGAGATATCGCGCAATAAGCGTCGAAGGGAATCAATCCTCCGAAAACAAGTGCAAAATACATTTCTAAACCTATATCATCAAGTTGACGAGGCTGAAAGCCGAGCGGAGAAGGCTGAAGCCCGGATCTCGAGGGCTCAGTCACTAGCTTTGGATGCTGAAGCTCGGGCTCAAGAGGCCCAGGTGCAGGCATTAGATGCTGAAGCGCGAGCTCGAGAAGCTCAAGCACAGATCCATGCTCAGGCCACACAGCCACCAACCCTCCCTGTCCTAGAGCCTCGGATTCGAATTCTAGTACCCGTATGCGTATCGGGTGCGTCCCTTGTGCCGCCGCCGACTCAGGCGTTTGAGATTGCCTTCCAGGTGCAGGAGCCTGCGTTAGTAGAAGGCCGAGAGGCCAGACAATGAGAAGGAGTGTGCGTGCGATGATGTCGGGAATGATTTTACGTTAATGTAACTAGGTAGCGAGCAATAGCTCCGTCAGAAAGAATTGTCCTTTGCGTCCAAGTTCAATCTTACCATGTCTCCATCTCGTGAAATTCGCTTGAAGCGGTCAGCAATGGGCACGCCTTTGTGAAAGGTACCAATTGTAGTAATAGTATTCGTCCCCCGGCTGGTTGAGGGATCAGAGTCCAGGCTACGACGAACAAATTAGGAAATCCGCGATGCCCTAGCATGGGACCCATTCGATCTACCGTGGAATATCGTTCGGCATTGCTTATGCGACCCAATCACACATGCCCGCTAAAAGACGCGGTCGTTGGGCCAAGCATCTTATTCCATAAACTTAGCTGTCCGTCCTTGGCTTCCCCTCACGACAGCTGTATAATGGCGTCAGATGATTTAGTGTTGCACGATGTAACCCGGCCAGCATATCCTCGCCAGAGGAGAAGAAGGAAATCCTCACCACTTCTCCACCGCCGCTTCATGGGCCGTACAATCCGCTGTAACATTTGCTCAGGGCAGTGTCTCATCCAGGGCCCCCATATATCCAAGATGGCGGGTTCTGAGGACGTCTGACAAGTCCTACCAAGTGGTAATTAAGCTTAACGATATATATGGAGATTGCTGTGTTTCGCAATGAAGGTGGGAATAAGGAAGAGGGACACACAGTGAGGGGGATCTGAGATTCTTCTCCGCATTGATCGGCATCGGGCTCCGCTTCTTCCAATGTCATGATGTTTGTCCGGAGCCAAACTTGTCGCTGAGGAGGTTGAAGACCATGCAATCCTACGAGCAGTTAGGCCATTAACCATGTTCAATGTACTCGATCCCGGTCTTCTCGCTGCTCGTCTTGCATGGGCTACTTGAACCGATTCGCATCTGCATCCCCACACCGGCCGTCACCATGAGGTAGAGAAACGGGCGTATGCGCGTAGGACAACAGGCCGCCATTCGCATGCAGCGTATCCTTGGACCTGGCCGGCATAAGAATGGAAAAGAGGGGAAGCGAGGTTGATGCAAGGGGGTTACGTTGAAGACATTTTGAGTATTTATAGGCGCGAGTGTTCTCTCGTCCTGATGAAAACAGAAAGGGAGGAGACATGTCTCAGGGTTGATCGTTCAATTGAGCTTCCCTATCATTCATACGCAGGCTTTCGGTCATTTTGTTTGCCTACAGATCAATCTGGATAGAAAAACACCGCGTCCGTGATGATTCTATCCTCAGTAGGCCTTCTCGCACTTGCGAGTTGCCTCAGCACTGCTGTTGCGCAGAGCAGCCAACCGGTTCCTTACAAAGTCCAGACACCGCCTCTTGACACCGATTGGACGTATAAAGTCGGCACCAATCCATGGCCAGAATATCCCCGGCCACAGCTTCAGCGTGATAGCTGGCAAAGCCTCAATGGCATCTGGACATTCCAGCCTGCCAGCCCTGGAGCCGACGCGGGCAGTCCTCCCACAGGCAAGCTCCAGCGCGAAGTGCTCGTGCCGTCATGCGTTGAGAGCGCGCTGTCAGGACTGCAGTTGTTGAACGTGACCGATATGTGGTTCGCGACCAGCTTCAAGACACCAAAAGGCTGGAATGGCCAGAATGTCATTCTCAACTTTGAGGCCGTCGACTATCAGGCGACGGTGTTTGTGAATGGTGTCAAAGCCGGGAATAATACTGGAGGATATTTCCGATTCGGATTGGATATCACCAAGCTCCTCAAGGACGGAGATAACAGCTTGTAAGTCAAACTATCGGCCTTTTAATTGGATTGCGCGGGTACTAACCCGGACGCAGAACTGTCTTTGTTCATGATCCCACGGATCTCGACGTCATTCCAATCGGAAAGCAGACTCGAAACCCTAGCCACATTTTCTACAGATCTTGCTCCGGTATATGGCAGTCTGTATGGCTGGAGAGCGTGCCTGAAAATCACATTACTGCGCTTGATGTTGCTGCTGGCATGGATGGCACAGGTATGAAGCCGTTTTTTCCGAAGACATTTGAAGATGAAGAAGCACCCAACTAACCTTTGATTAATAGTCACCGTGACGGTTCACAGCTCAGGCAAGCAAGGTGCCTCAGCCAAAGTATCAGTCATTGGCCAAAATGGTCGCGCCGTTGCTTCGCAGAGCGGTCCTTCAGACAAGCAGTTCACTTTCAAGGTCAAACAACCAAAGCTGTGGTCTCCATCGTCTCCAACTCTGTACAATCTAACAGTGACATTGGGTGATGACGAGGTATCCAGCTACACCGGCTTCCGCACAATCACGAGCGGCAAGGTCAAGGGAGTTCAGAGACCACTGCTGAACGGACAGTTCACTTTCATCTTTGGCACGCTCGATCAAGGCTTCTGGCCTGACGGACTCTACGCGCCTCCCAACAGAGAAGCTATGGTATATGATTTGAAGATGCTCAAGAGTCTTGGTTTCAACGCCGTCCGAAAGCATGTAAGTGATTGAGCTTATACCCAGCAACATACGTTCGCGGCTGGATAAACGCTAAACTAAGATGCCTCCAGATCAAAGTTGAACCTGATCTGTTCTACCGGGCCTGTGATGAATTGGGCCTGATGGTCATCCAAGATATGCCCAGCCTTGTGGCCGATGGCAGTCGACCACCCAATCCGGCCCAGCAAGCGGAGTTCCAGCGCCAGCTCGAAGTTCTTATTCATGAGCATAAGAATTATCCATCAATTGTGACTTGGGTTCGTTTTCTCGTTGTGGCAAAGAATAGGCTGTCTCTCTCGTGCAAGCTGACATGAATATATGCAGGTCATCTATAACGAAGGATGGGGACAGCTCCCGGGCCCTCCGTATCCTGAGATTGCCCTTGTAGATATCGTGCGCAATATCGACCCAACAAGAATAATTGACGCGACCACAGGGTGGAACGATCACGGCGCAGGTGATTACTCTGTAAGTTGATTGCAAGGGCATTGATTTTTGTTGTTGATGAAGATGAAGAATGCGGAGAGTATTGATGGCTGATCGTTGATGTGATATTGTTGTGTAGGACAACCACCACTACGCCAATCCGCAATGCGGCACGCCCTTCTACTCCACGCCGTCCAGACCATATGACCCCAGTCGCATCGGATTTCAAGGCGAATGGGGCGGCATTGGTCATAACGTGTCGATTGAGCAGTAAGTTTTGACTCTTCTCTAGCCGTTCCAAAGATTCATCAAATCAAACCACTAACACACGATAACCAGTCTTTGGAATGTCCAAGAGGCGATCAACACCATCAACCAGACATATGAGGTCGACGCCGACCTCGCTTCGTACAACTATCGGGCCAGCCTCTTGTTCTCCGAGTTCCGCGACCAGGTGGAAAAATATGCTTGTAGCGGCGGCATCTGGACACAGACGACCGATGTCGAAGGCGAAGTGAACGGCTTGCTGACGTACGACCGACGTCTTCTGAGGCCAAATGCGAACCAGTGGAAAAAGGACATCAAGAGCCTGTATACGGCGGCGGCTGGAAGGCGATAGATAATCAAAGTAGATGTACCAAGCCAATAGCTTAGAAAAGAGCATCTTAATGAGTAGATAGTAGATCGATAAACATGTTTGTTGGTCACTGCCTGTATGAGTCTATAGTTTCGCAAGAAATAAAATACTAGTCTCTGCTTCTATTCGCTGTGCAACTTGCATATACTCGAATTCGAAGCAATTGATTACTGGTGTTGTAATTGAGATGCTGAATTGCGTAGCTGTTCAGGGTAGGAAATCAAAGAGCTTGAAAGGACCAGGCAAGCGATGCCATTTTACAGGCAATTGCAATTGTTTGGCGCATTGGATTGATTTTCTTCAGCAGTTGCAGTCCCACCTAAGATAACTAATTTCATGGATGATACCTGATGAACGAGAGGTAATTTGGGACGTCTTTCTTCTTCAGTTAACTTCAGAACACGATGATGCAGTGGTTGCCGTTTACAGTGGCGAATACCTTGCCAATTTCACCCCACCTGCCACATTCAACAGCAGCCAGCAAAGAGGACGCTTGTACTGATTACTCAGGCTTTGGACTCGATCCCAGAGAGGACAAGACCGATCCTCAATCGTGAATTTTCTTTCCCCACCATCCCGCAATCGTATTCGGACCCCTGGCCGCTAGGCAATTTTGGACCAACTTCGCAGCCAGAAAAACCACCAAAGGACCAGTTCATCGTTCCATAATCATGTGATAGAGCTCCTTTTCTTTCATGTTCGTCATGTCATGAGCAAGGGACTGGGCACATCATTGTGGTTATCAGCTTGATTTTGGTCCTCGCGGATTGGTCAATTGCAGCGCCCTCGTTTTTCTCTCTTCTTTTTGCTCTACTTCAATCTCACTCCCTTTGCTTTTTGGCTTGTGACAGCCAGTCAGTCACTGCTCTTTTTTCCTACCATCCATGACGAGCCACGAAGAACGAAAGAACGAATAAATACCCTCGACGAGCAATAGACGATTTCTCCTCCTCCTTCTTCTTCTATAGAGAGTCTTTTCATTGGTGCTTTCCAATTGCCTCAACCGCTCTTCGACACACCAATCTTTTGGGTCGAAAAACTACCTTTGATTAATTCATAACCATCCACACTCTTCTCCCCCAATGTCGGAAACAATGACATCCTCACACATCTATACGCGAGAACGGCGCGATCGCTACCACGAAGCAGACGTCGTCGTCGTCGGTGCCGGCATCTTTGGCTGCGCTGCCGCCTACGCGCTCGCCGACCAAGGCCGTTCTGTGCTTCTGCTCGAGCGGTGGATGCACGAGCCTGATCGAATTGTGGGCGAACTCCTACAGCCTGGTGGCCTGGCGGCGCTGAAGAAGCTGGGCCTAGGCCACTGCGTTGAAGGCATTGACGCAATCCCCTGCTACGGCTACAACGTCATCTACCACGGAGAGCCATGCGAGATTCCGTACCCCAGACTCAACGAACAGGGCGAAGTCACACATGCCTGGAGCGGAAGAGGGACGGAGGGAGAGAAGCAGCAAGGATGCGGATTCCACCACGGCAAATTCATCTCACAGCTGCGAAAGGCCTGCCTGGGACACAAGAACATCACAGTGGTCGAGACCGAGGTTGTCAAGACGATCCGGGGCGAGTTCGAAGACCAGATCCTGGGCGTAGAATCGCGCACCACGGTAAACAAGGAGACCAACGAGAAGAAGAATGACTTCTTCTTCGGCAAGCTGACCATTGTGGCCGACGGCTACGACTCCAAGTTCCGCAAGCAGGTCCTCGAGACCAAGCCCGTCGTCAAGAGCAAGTTCTACGCCCTCGAGCTGGTCGACACGGCCCTGCCCAAGCCGCTGCATGGCCATGTCATCATCGGCAACGCCTACCCCATCCTGCTCTACCAGATCGGCACCCACGAGACCCGGGCGCTCTTTGACGTGCCGCAGGGCATCCCCGAGGCGTCGGTCGAGGCCGGCGGCGTGCGCGGCTACATCAAGAAGCACGCCATCCCGGCCCTGCCAGAGTCCGTCCGCCCAGCCGCCGAAAAGGCTCTCGCCGACGGCAAGATCCCGCGCAGCATGCCCAACTCCTGGCTACCCGCCGTGCCGCAGACGCCCAATGGGCTCATCGTGCTCGGCGATGCCCTCAACATGCGGCACCCCCTGACGGGCGGCGGCATGACCGTGGCCTTCAACGACGCCGTGCTGCTGGCCGAGCTGCTGCACCCGGCCCGCGTGCCCAACCTCGACGACGCAAAGGCCATCCGCGAGGCCATGCACAAGCTGTACTGGCGCCGCAAAAACTTCACCAGCATCATCAACACGCTCGCCCAGGCGCTGTACTCGCTCTTCGCCGCAAACGACCGCCAGCTGCGCGCCCTGCAGATGGGCTGCTTCGAGTACTTCCGCCGCGGCTGGACCGATGGCCCGGCCGGCCTCCTCGGCGGCATCATCCAGCGGCCCCTGGTGCTGGCGTACCACTTCTTCTACGTCGCCTTTGTGGCCATCTGGATGAACGCGTGCAACGTCATTGGCGGGCCGCTGGGCTTCTGGAAGCTGCCACTGGCGATACTGGACGCCGTACTCATCCTGTGGAAGGCATGTATTGTCTTTTTGCCCGTCATTTGGCGTGAAGGATTTCAGTAAAGCGAATCAAAAGAGGTTTGGGGTCTTTTCTTTGATATATATCGCTTTTGCATTTGGCATACTATTCTTCACCCTATTGGCAATGAAAGCGGGTTTGATTTCATGACCTTTTTCTCTCTCTCTCTTTTTTCCTATAATGTACTGGTAGGCATTGGCTTTGGATCAAGCAACAAAAACTATGTATTTTCACGCAGTTATGGCTAGTAAAAAAGACGTCAAAGTCTCTAAGTAATATTAATAGCACTCAGACTTATATAAATGAAGACAGTTCATCTTTTCTTATGCTTCCTTTTATAGTAATTGGCCAAGTACCTAGCGTGCTTGGCTTATAATAGCATCAGAGCTTAACTTCACTCTTCCACATCTATGTGGCGTGACTTATATATCTATGGCATATAAAGAGACCAGCTGGCCTTCTTTTATTATGACTTGACGTCTTTATAATCCCTTCAATCTCTCTCTCTCTCTCTCTCGTATTTGTCGATTTTGTCTCTCTCGTACTTGTCGATTTAGTAGTAGTGGCTTCAGGTAAGGCGTCTCCTATACACACCCATCATCCAACACGCCCTCAACACAAACAGGCCAATAGCCATCTTGATGCTGTCCTGGATAACATTCAGCTTGCTGCCGCCCACCTCGTGCCACTCAATGGGCACTTCGGCGACTTTAATGCCAGGACTGGTCCCAATGACGCTGCCGTCGCTGCCCAGGACGGGCGTCGCGGGCGCGGACTCGGCGAGCATCAGCATCTCAATGTCGAAGATCCAGCCCTCGGCATGCATGTACGGGACAATGTGCGGCAGCGCGGCGCGCGTAAAGAGCTTGAAGCCGCACTGGGTATCGCGGATCCGGGATGTGGCAGGGGGTGTGAGGATGGTGAGCACGAGGTGGAACGAGCGCATGAGAAAGTTTCGAAGAGCAGAGCGCTGAAGGCATTAGCTAAAGAATGGAAAGGAGTTGTTATTTTTAAAGTTTTTGACTTACCTTGACCACTGCTTCGCTACCAACGAGATGGGCACGGCTACCAATGGCAACGCCTCGGCGGGAACCATCAACCACCTCCTCGACGCCCTCAATCAGCTTCGCTACATCGCTAAACCGCGACGCGCCGTCTGCATCGGCAAAAAGCGCATACTCGCCGCGAACATGACGAAAGCCATGTGTAACGCCACCGCCCTTGCCCCGGTTCTTAGCCAGTGACACGACTCTAAGCACATCGTCCAAGCCGTTCTTCTGCGCGAAATCGAGCACCACATCGACCGTCTTGTCGCGGCTGCCGTCATTGACAATGATAATCTCGTAGCCGCTAAGGCCTTGGTCTTTTGGATCAGTAGCGCCAGCAGCGCCTTGCACATGACGCTTCTTAGTCGTCGGCGAAAGAGGGTTCTTGGCGCCAGCAAGAGGAGCAGCGGTGCGTCCAAAGTGCTTGTCCAGGTACTCGACGGCCTCTTCCAGTGTGGGAATCACCCGATCTTCTTCATTGTACGCGGGGAAAACGACGCTGAGGAGGAGCTCCGCGGGCTCAATGGAGCCGACGTCAGGCGTAGGATTCGCTTCACCTGAGCGAGGGCGCTGCTCGCTGAGGTGTCGTTCCGCGAGCCATCGGTCGTACCAGCAGGGGAGGGGGCGAGGAGTCGTCTTGCCGGAAGGGCTGCTGGTGATGTATGTCTTTTCAGAGGAGAGGACGGGGCGAGGCTTGGAGGCGACGAGGTGGAGGAGGATGAAGAGCTGTGGCAGGTTTTAAGTTAGCTGTGGCAGTTCAATTAAGGTGTGTTTTTATCTTGATATTTACAGAAACGAGCCCGAATAGAATCAGGGCGACGAAGAGGCCGAGCAAGATGGGAACTGGAGTCGCCTTGATCCATTCCCACAGCGGCGCTGGGAGCTCCAGCAAGGCTGTCGCTACGCCCATTTTCTATGCGACGAGGATATATGAGGCTAGACGAGGAATAGAACCAAGTCAATCGAGGTTGTAAACTAGATTGCACAGGGGAGAAAGAAAAGAAGAGAGTGCACAAGAAGAAACGGAGGAAATGGAAAGAAATAACAGAAAAAAGGGACAAAAGGAAAAACAAAGTGAAACGAATGTGAAATTGCGCAAAAGATGCCAGATGCCAGATGCCAGATCAAGGGTTCGCTGACACCTGGCGAATGGCTGATGACGAGGTGTCGCAGCTTGCTACAAGTTGAGCTTGCTGCTATTAATACGCCCTGGCACTAACAAACAGGGGACTTCAGCGCAGTGAGGCCACAGTTTCGCAATTCCCACACAAGGCTGGCCAATCACAAGTAGCGGGCTCGGCGGCCGTTCAGTGGGGCGCTGCCGTTAATTTCTAGGTGCCGTAGCTTGCACTATCTAACGGATATAGGGCTCAAGTGCTGTGATGATCAGATGATTCGGATGACATTTAGATGGATGGCTTCAATTGATAGATAGACGGTCGATTATAGATTTTTTTTTCAAAAGAAATATTGTCATATATAGCGAGCGAGGCTGATTAAGAAAGGTGTTTGAAGGAAGAAAGACAACAAGTAAGAAATAGAAAGCAAGTCCCCAGTCATCCCAGTCCAATGTACGAAGAAGCCAATTGAGTCAACAAGCATATGCAGCAAATAAGAAATATAAAAATGAGGTTTAGCAAAAGCGATCCAGTGCCATTTATATGAGCCTGTGGATGTTGTGTATCCACGCTCTCTATTTTATCAAGGGAAGAAAAAAGAAACCCAAGTTTTCATTCCATCATAACGAGTGGTCCCCTTTCCTTGCATGTATATTCCTCGCCATGTTGGTGACGCCTGAATGGCGCACCCAACTTGCTCATACCATAATACAGCTGTAAATTCTCGCCACAAGCATATTAAGAGTAGCAAAAACGAAAAACGAAAAATCTCTAAAGCAAACAGAAGCAAAATTTTCCAAATGCCGTACATTCCCTCTTCTTTTATATCCAAATACTGATTACCCGAGAGTAGGTAAGGAATGAAAACAGTCATAGTGAGGGTGTGCCATTTTCAAAGGCAATGCAAGAGACAAGTTGTATAACAATAACAATGAGAAGATGAACGTTGCTGAAATGTAAACGAAAAAAATCAAGACTCTTAGCTTATACAGTGATGGGTTGAGCTTTTGACCTGGCCCAGCGAGACTTCTTGGGAATCTTGGTCCCGCTCTTGGAAAATCGGCTAGACTTCTTGGTAGGTTCAGGCTCGGGGATTGAGTCCGCTTCTGGGAAGACGTTGATAACAATAGACTGTTGTTTAGCCTTGGGAGCAGAGACGGGAGCAGATGTAGGCGAAGGGGCAGGGACGGGATAAAGGGTAGAGGCGAGGCCGAGAACAGGCTGGTCTTGGGGTTCTTCTTCAGGCTCTTCTGCAGGTTCCTCCGCGGGCTTTTCAGTGGCCAGTTTCTTGGGGCCAGGCTGGATTCGCTCCCCTCCCGTGAGCCGAACTACTTTGACTGTTCTTGGCTCCTTGACTACATGCACCTTCAGCTCCTTCAACTCCTGCTGTTCTGGGGAAGGGCTGCCGTCAATCGCAGGCAGAGCGGATGTAGAGATGAGGGTGGCTGCAGAAGTGTTGAGGCTGGTGTTGAGAGAGCCAGGGAAAGATGTTTCTGATCTCTGCCGATGTTGCGAGTTTAACAAGTCACCTTGCGGATGAGATGTGATTCGTAGGATGGGAGCAGGTGCGTGGACAATGGGTGCAATCGAGCCAAAATTCCGCATAGACGGAGGAGGGCGAGAGTCCCGGGCAGCCGCCTTGGTCGAGTTGGCCATGGCAATCCGGCCAATTGCGGAATCTGATGTGCGCCGGCTGCCTACACGTGGTCGACGAGGAGCCATCTCGGCACCAGTGGGAGGCCGTACGACCGGAGGGCGGTTGAGCCTCATCTCGAGGTCATCTTGAGAACTCGTTGAGCCGCTGGAGCTCTCTGATTCTTCTGGGAGTGGGAAGAGGCTGGTTAGCATCCGGTGAATAAGAGTTATAGACGCTGACACTGAGGAGGAAGAAGACGGCGACGACAAACCTTGTGAGGATGTTGGGCTGGTCCTGGAAGTATTATAGCCAGACCCTCTGACAGCTTCCTTCCCCTTGGTCGAGGCAGCATAGGCCGCAAACTGCGATCCAACATCAGGCATTGAGCTTGCGGTGGTTCGGCTGTGGGTTGACGTATAAGGCGAGACACCCGTGTAGCTGTATGCTCGGGGCAGGCGCACCATGGGAGTGGCGTCGTTGTCCGTAGGGTATGAGACGTGGGACAAGCCGCTGCCAACACGAGGCATGCCGGGCATGTTCATGCTATGGCTGGAAGAAGCAGCCATGGCACTCCTCCGGCGGTTCTGCTCCTGGATCTTCTGGCGATCATCTTCTCTCCAGCTGGGCGGCGCACTGGCAATGGCGTCGGCGGCGGCATGTTTGGGAACGTGCCGGTAAGGAGTCTTTACCTCGTCCTCCTTCTTCTCCTGTTGGGCAAGCTTAGCATTGTGCTCTTTGGCCTGCTGGCGGCTCTTCTTCAAGCGCGAGAAGATGGACATTGTTGCTTCTTTTGTCTCCTTCGGAGTGTTTTCTCGTCGGTCTTGAACAGCTGAAGGCGGGAGGAAGCCGAGTTCAGCGTCACCAGATCCGATCCTATCGAGTTATACCAAGCAGTACGATAACCAGGGTATAGTAGAATAAGCGAACAGGGTGTAAAGAGTGGCTCCGCTCAGTAAGCTTCGGGAGAAAGGGAGCGATGCAAAAGCAGATGATGTGCCGAGATGATGCAGATCTGATTTATCAATGCCCGATGGTGGTATATGTAGAAGTAATGGGAGTAATGGGAAGGTGAGAACGGTTGTCAAGATATAAGCCAAAGCAAGAAGCGTCTGCTTTATATGAGTATCCGGCAAGCCTCGATACGCTCGTTATGGATGGGTCACTTGTAAGTGAGAGGGTGTGGATCGGATCAAATGCGAGGGATGAGGAAAGCCTGGTTCGGAATCGATGTGAGACACGCCTGGAGCAATCAAGTAGGTGTCGTGACCTATTATAGAGCTTGGATCTAGCTCGTGAAGGTTGATTTCAGCTTCAGTAAGGCAGGCCCATGGGGAGCGAATAAGAGGAGTCGCGAACGGGGACGAGAACAAAAATTGAAAAGAGGAAGAAAGAGCTGATAAAAGAGCAGTGAAGCGGCAATGCAAAGAAACAAAAGTTGAGGAGAGAATAGAAAGCAAAAATGAATACGAAAGAGGCCGGCAAGCTGAATAATAGCGGCAGCTCAGAGATGGAAATCTTGCTTGCGGATCGCCGGAATTAACAGATGGAGAAGAGCGCGCACAGTGAGAAACATATAGGGAGAGGATCGAGCAGATGGGGGCGAGGATTGGCTGCGCCTAAGATGAAAAGCACTGCAGGGAAAATGGCAAATAGACCAGTTTGGGGGGAGGGAAATTTTGGAGATGCCGGAATGCAGACGCAGGAATAGTTGCACTTTTGCGCTCTAGGCGGCCAGCTGAAATATGAGATGGCATGACATGGACATGGACCTGGACCTGGACATACCGGTGAAAGTAGTAGTACTTGCATGTACGAGCACAGCTAGATATGCACCCTGTCGGTTTAGCCTGGCCCGTATCTGTACTTGGATCCTCAAGAGATAGGAGGGCCAGAGGCAGATTGGAGATTGGGGGGATGCGATAGGCCTGGACGCTTCGCCCGAGGGTGGCTTTTGCTCGCCTGCGACGGGGGCGTAAATGGTTGGCCTGCAGAGGGCAGATGCGGCTGACTCGAGGGATGCGGTGCAACGAGCTGCGTCGTAAGACTCGGTGGCACACACGTGGACCGGAGGAGGCTGTTCGGGAGGGAGAGAGGGAAAGGTACCGGTACTTATAATCAGGCCAAACGGAGCAACCTTTCCTCGCTATCTTGGCATCTGTCTGCAAGTAATGGCTTGTTGTATTATATTGCTATTGCTGGTAGCAGTAGTAGAGAGTTAATATGGCAAGATGTCATGTCTCACCTCGGACAATGGCCTCATTGTTCCACCTGTGAAACTTTGTGCCAATAAAGGCAATGCATAGGTAAGAAATGACACATTTGATCCAATTTTGAGAACATCAGAGAGCGAGACGTCTCTCTCATCGTATCGTATCTGTACCGTCATTGCACGTCTCTTAGCAGATGGTACTCCGTACCACTACTGCAAACATGGGTCCCCTCTCCAGTTGCAGTTGCAGTTCCAGTTCCAGTTACCGTCACCGTCGTGGCGGCAGCAGCCCGCGGACAAGGGAGCTGGGACCGTCAGAGTGCGCTAAATTAACTCCCCGCGCAGGAAACAAAGTTGAGCGTAGGGAGAATTGGACGATTCGATCCCACTAAGCAACCAAACATAGTTGCGGGTACCTGATGGCGGTGGGTTGGTGCCGTAACCTTAGCCCACTCACAGGGCCAGCAGCTCCCAAGATATTGAAAATCAATCAATAATCCTGTAGACGGAAATCAATATTACCACCACCACCGCCGCCAAAACACCGACAGACGTGTCCGCCACTCTCCATCCAGCAACGGCATTGGTCCAAGGCGTTGTGCGTATTCTTTGTCTCTTGTACTCATGTAGCTGAGGCATAATGTATGTGTGCTTATATCGCTCTCCGTGCCTGATCCGGCATGACTTACACCGTCAATGACGAGCCGGCAAGTCGAGGAAACGGTCGGCGGCACGGGATTCTGTCAGTGTCCGCCAAACAACAACACGAGGCCAAAGAGAGTCCAATGCAAAAGAGAAAGCATCGCCACCACCTAATTCGCTCCTCTCCCTCATCGCCACGCCATGGTGCGCGCCCTACAGTGCACATCTGACCGTGGTAACGAGATTCCCTCTGTCTGTGTTTGTCATCTTGCTAGAGCCTGGAACGTCGTTTTCAAGGTTCGGCTACCAGTAGCTGCTCCATTCATCTCTGACACGCTGCTTGAAAAATCAGGAGAAACGGAAACTCTATTTGGATCCAAACGTAATCAAGCTCGGTTTGTGTGCCGTGCCGCTGTCCGTTATCTCACGTTTCTCCCCCCTCTTCTTGCGCTGGGGAACTGTTGTCTGCACCCTATCGTCTAGCTCCTCGTTGCCCGCAGCACGCGTGCGGCAAATCAGCGTCGCCAGCAGCCATGGTGACGCCGAACAGCTGCTCCTCTGCTCTCTGATCTGCCCAAAAAACAAGGTCGACCCCGGAGCCCGGCTGCAGCAAATGCTCGTATTCTGCTCACGGACCCCCCTCCAACTCACGCAAGGGCTGCTTTGTACCAAGTACGGGAACCTGTGCGCGGACGGACCTGGTGCCTGAAAAGAGACGAGAGACTGCTAGCAGCACGCCGAGCCCATTACCTGTTTGCTAGGCCGCTGACTGGGAGTTCGGGTGGCGGCTTTGCTTGGCTCAAATGCCGCTCTCTTGGTGGGGATTCGAGGGCATCAAAGTTTAGAGTGCCTGAACTCAAGGCCACCCAAGCCAGATGTGCCACAGCCCCTGTCCCCGTCGTTTGTTGAGCGAAGTGGGCGGATACGGCGCCGCCAAAGTCCAGCCGCACGCACGCTAAAATAGAACGCATAATAGCCTACGGCGGAGAGCCAGGACAGGCGGTTGTAAGGGCAAATATAGAGAGAGAGAGACCGGCGACTAGTCTCCGAGCCCGAGCCCGAGCCCTAGTTTGACTGTTTTTATGACTTCATGCCATATACCAGAGCATGTGTAGAATGCATATGCTGCCTGAAGTCCTCTAATTGATTCCGGTGATGAAAAGAGAGGAAAATAATAAAGAAGAAAGCAATGCCGAGGCGCCGATTCCGAGGGCGAATACCTAATATCGAAGCCATCCTCGACTTACACGCACGTGTGGTGAGATTACAGCCTGGCGCCATCGCTTTTTGATCTCGGTCAAGATTAGGGTTTCTCTAGGCTGTTGATTATCACGCAGCCACTGCCCTCTCAACTATACAGCTAATCATAGTTTTCCGAATCCCTCGCCTGCCTTCCTATCGGAACACGGCTCCTAATCCGTGCCTGGTGGACCTGGGCCAGCAAAATATGGGCCTTGCATGCGAGGAGAACGAACGGGCTGAAAAGCCAAGGAGAGACAAGAACCAGGCAGTGCCGCGATGCCGCTTCCATTTCGATAAGGCGAAGATCGTGGCGGGCTCATTGGGCGGGGGGATTAGGAGAATCCCCGGCAGCATCCTCTATCACAACGCCACAGCCAACGTGGCAGATCTTCTCGACCAGGAGTGGAAATGACGCCTTTAACCCCCAATTTGGAAGCGAGATAGCAATGCAGTGCTAGTGTAGGCATGTCGAAAGAAAGAGTAGTACTGATATGCAGCGTACACCTGCAATGGGCTTTTCAGACAAGACACGTTTTAGTGCTGAGTACTCTGTACCTGTCGAGTCTCTCATGCGTCACAGAGCGCCTTGATCCGTATTCAGATGTTGCACGAGTACGGCGCAGTGGTCGCCATGCTGTCATCTTGTTGTCAACTGCAAGCCAAAATCGCATCTAGCATTTGCCAACAAGCGTGGGCCAGATTGATTGTCATGTAACAAAAGAAGCCAAAGAATTGGGGCTCAACTAAGCTGCAAGAGGTAGGTTGTGAATTCGGAAGATGTTCCCAATTCGGCGTGGGTGTCAAGTCGATAATCCCGAATCTCGAATATAAAACACTAGAAGTAGAATGGCATTCTGTACCAAGTAGTAAACACAATTGGGGCTTGTACTTGTACCTACTTAGTTTTTGTTGTCATTTCAGAACGCAAACGCCCAACACGTGTTCAGCGGAGAATGTCAGCCGTATGGTTGCATCACTGCTGAACTAGAACTCAATCTATCAGACGACATGGGCAGTTTGGATTTCCAGTATCTCCCAGTGTTCCAATGGCAGCCTTCTCGTGGTGCATGCACCATGCATATTCGACGTGGGAGCGGCTATCCGGACCGAAAATGGTTCCACAAACTCCAGCCTGCCATCTCTCAGATTGTACATATGATTGTACATACAGAGACTGAGAGATAAGACAAAAAAAAAGATAATGTATGCACACACCGAGCATTTTCATATCAGTACACTTGCAAAGGCAAGTGTCACAAGATAAGGAGCATGTTTGGTATTACCGGACACGCTATGCCGTTTCTGCGTATCTCTTTCTCTCTCTTTTCCTTGTTGCTTTTTCCTCTTCTAAGCTTCTCCCTGTCATAAAGAATTAGTACCTGGTACGCACTCGTACCATGAAGATGCAAGGCTTGCGTCGGCGGCCCACAGCTCTTTCAAGCTATTGACACCCACGTCAACCATGTTTGCGGGCTAGCACAGACTTGTAGATACAGCGCGCAAAGCGAGCGCCTCCATTTCCCGTTTCGGCGACAGCAATAGCCAACTGCATATGCTATCAACGATACTCCGTGGTGTTGCATAGGGTTTAATGCTGGTATAGGAGCACTAGCTCACCGTTCGTAGCTGAGATTCCGAAGACGTGGCCACGCTATAGTATGCAGGTGTAAACGGCAGCAAGGGTCGTCCACACCGGTTGATTGATCCCGCATAGTATGTGTCCCACGCTGGTCAGGGCTCACAAACAAGAAGCCTCCCATCCCATAGATTGAGCACATGGCTATGATTTGATGAACATGGCGGCTCAAACGATGTAGACGCTTGTACCACTTGTATCACCTATCAATATGCACATAGTACCTTCTCGAGTTGATGGTATTACTTTGAGTAATTAGAAAGGCTGATTTGCTTGATCAGCTCGTCACATTATGATTAACCCCAAGTATAAAGGGAGACAGCATGGTTTTACGAATCAACGTGGTCCAGCAGCCCGCTAGTACCTGCACAAGGCGACATGGCATTCGGATAGCCAAGGTGACTGTGCTCCATACTTGGGCAGGCTTATTTGCAGCTCATAGCCTAATGGCTTATGCTATTAGAGACATGCATGATGGCTGGCGTAGTTTGCCAGCTTCGTTGTGCCGTGTCTCACTTGAGAGACAGCAAGATAAGACAAAAGCGGTGATAATATGCGCTGTTTCTATATTGGGCATTCTAGGCAGTAGGTGACTTGTGGACAAAGCTGCCACGCTAAGCAATCAGGCTGGACAAGGCAGATTTGAAAGTTGCCCTCATTTCTCCCCCAACACTTGCTCGGCGCTCATTTGGCTGTCTGGAACCGAATATTGTCTTGGCTGAGACAATTGCAATGGCGTCATATCTGCTGCCATCATTTGCGTCCTTTTTGGAGGTGCCAAGTCTGGGCCGGTTTGTGGAAGCCTCTATAGATGCTCGTTGGTCATAAGACAATCAACTGGGTTCAATTCTAAACGATTTGCAAGAGTGCCACCTCAAATCACAGAGGGAAATTTGAAAAATGTTATGATGAGTCTAAGTGACATGACTCCTGAGAAATAGACTTGTATTGGTCGTCTATTCGTTGTGTCGATATGTCATTTAGATGACTGCTTAGGATCGTATATGATGCAACATGTAGCCATACTGCTTAAAGCCAGAGGCGATGGCTATGTAGTTTGACTTTATGAATCTTGTTTGTGTAGCTTTGATCACGTCCTAAGCGAAGGACATGAAGAAGTAGCAGCTAAGGGAGCCCAATGGCAGATTGTGGCGTTGTAGCGACTTTGGAGCAAAATGGTTGCTATGTTTGCTCACCGAAAGATCAGAGAGGGGAGCTGGAGAAGGATGTAATATTCCCTGCAAAAAAGGGCGGAACACAGAAAGTAAATTGACCAAGAGATAAAGATAGGTGGTCGATTATGCATCACAAGACGAGATGCCTCCCTGGTGTATACTTGGTGGTAGCGTGCAAGGTTGGACCCAACAGCTGAGCCGGTTGATTTACCCGCCCTATTCCACTTTAGCGTACCGCGTCCCCGGAAAATTGGGCAATAAATCGATGCGCCGTGCGTCGCGCCAGGGGGGTTTCCAGGGCCCGTGATTCGCAAATGAAGTAAAAGTGGCGGCTGAGGGTGCCATCGACTGGGGGCGAATCAGGTCCCTCTCGACTCACTAACAACGCCTCAGCTCTCTCCCTAGAGCAAGTCGCTAGAAAAGCTGGGCCGGCCGGGAATTAGAGTATGACAGGCTCTAGGCATGATTTAATTACTTTAGCTAAGAAGCGAGTTAGCGGCTGGCAGACAAAAAGAATGAGGCACAAAGATGGATTGATGTTACCCTGAGGATACCCTTGGATGCAACGCTTGTAAGGAGAGACCATGCTCGGCCGTGACAAGCGCGGCGGTTATGCATTGAGGGCGCCATTTCATGCAGCGTTGAATCATGACAGCGGAAATTAATATGAACCCAGAGAGCGAAAGTGATAGATCAGCCGAGAGCGCTTAGCTTAGTCGCGGATATGGGACGTGAGTAAATGCTGGAGATGGCTGAAGCTTCGGGTAGGCATTCCAGCGTCTTATCCTCCCCGCACATCATTGTTTCTCTCTCGCTCTGTCTCCAGAGTCTGTTCCTTTGCCGGCCTTGCAGATCTCTTGTCACTTTGCATCATTAACCACGATTCAGAGAGATCGGGACCATGCGATGCGGCCAAGATTGATCGTGCAACCCCGGGCTCTTTGCTAGTGGCCGTGCTATTATGTGGGAATTGCGGGTGGCAGATGGGGAAGGGCTTGTGCGTGCTTGGCCGATCTAAGCAAAACGCTGGCCTGACGACATATCACGTGCCAGTGGCGTTGCTTGGGTTCCGAAAGTGGTAACGGACAGACAGCGCCTGGGGAGAGGCGAAAAGAAACAAAGATGGAACGAAACGAGGAAAGTGATGACGCCTCAAGTATGCAACGCGATGAGCCAAGGGTGTTGCCGCCGAGCAGCTGCGCTTCGTACTTGAGGGCTGGACTTTGCACAAGTAGTTAGACAGCAGAGTCGATATTAAGCGCGCGAGTCGAGTCGACTGAGCTGAGACGGATTAGGTACAAACAGACGCAGTACATGCATGGACCCTGGCCGATGCGGGTAGCCGGTAAGGAGGGATGAGATGCCAGCCGCGGCCATCGGCTCCGGTCCTTAGGTAGCATTTTTGACGCAGCTGTGATGTCGCAGAGCCAGCAAGACCGGGCTCTTCTAGTGCTCTTCCTTTGCTCTTCCACGGACTTTCTGGCGGCGGCCGGTGCAAAGAGGCTGCAGCTGCAGAGATCATTGATGCACGACTGGGCGGCTTACGGTGCGCCGTCGCAGCTTAATGGCGCCTGCAAGCTGCTCGTGACAGGTACAGCATAGCCGTTAGCACGGTACTTGCAGGTATGCGACGCTGGTGCCTAGGAGCAAGGTACCTTGGTAGAGCCGCGCCATGTAACCCCCGGGATTCGTGCAGCTGCAGGCATGCGGCGTTTGCGCCCAACGCTTCGGATCAGCAATCATCGCCATCACCAACAGACAGACGGCAAAGGCTGCAAGATTTCCACTAGCAGTAGATTCGCCCTCGGCACAGGCGCTTAGAACCAGCCGGTGATGAGAGGATACTAGTAGTAGTAGTAGAAATCAAATAGGGGAACAAGGAGAAGAAGAAGAGGAAGGGGAAAATAGAAGCAGCCCAACCTGATAGGCAGCAGGCGCACCCGCTGCTATAATCGCACGTCAACGCCTGGAAAGCGTCCCTGTAGGCGGTGGCACAGGCAGGCAGCCCCTCCCGAACGAAAAAAACGACAGCGAGAGATGCCATCTTTGGAGGCCCCCAGTTTTGCAGGCGCCAGCTGCTAGGCCAGGCCAGGCCAGGCTCTAGATTAAAAAGCAGCCGCTCCAGGGCCTGTTTTTTTCGCTGCTCCACTGCCGCCATCGACGACGCCGCCCGTGGTCACGCGCTTTTCCCGCTCGCAACTACTATCCCCAATTTCTCGTGCCGACAAGCACAAGCCCAGACGCCCAGCATATCGCTATCGAGCCGCAGCCTCAGCGTTGCCGCCAGCCATCCAACATCAGACGCCTCGTCGTCCTGCGTCGCGCGCGCATCCTCGACCCTCGCCAGGCCTCACTGCGTCCATCGCCTGGTGGTCGCGCCTCTGCCTGTCTCTCCCGACATATTCCGTCACCCCAGAAAAGGCCCTGAACCTGACGCCTTTCTCCTCCGCCACTGGCCCCGGTCGTATCACAGAGCCCTGACTTGCCGAGCAACAACAAACGAGAGGCCATCGACACGCAAGGGCCCTCTCCAGCGCTGCGTCTGTGTGTCGCGCCTTGATTGTGCTGTGCATGGCGCACTGAGGAAGGGGGAAAAGTTCGTTCGCTTGGCATTGAAACGCCACATCGCAGCCGCCCGCAACCCGCAAACCAAACTAAGGCCGGCCGCCCCAAAAAAATATTCCATCAAGGCCGCTCTCACGACCTGCATCTCTCGCCGTCCCGAATCCCGAGTCGCCAGGCCTGCTGCTCGCTGCCTGTCCGAATAGCTTCGCGCGCGCCCATCTCCACGGGGCGCATCACCGCACGGCACCGTGGCGGCGCTCACCATCCTCGACCATCCCGAGACGCCGGAGCTGTCCCTGCAGCAGCATCTCGACCTCGCGCCCGACCTGGTGGGCTACGGCGACCAACTCGTCACGGGGGACGATCCCCAGTCCTTGATGATGGCACAGCCGGTGCCTCATCAGGACAAGAAGCGCGTCAAGGTCTATGAGCTGCGCAACAACGACTGGTTTGACCGCGGCACGGGCTTCTGTACCGCCAAGTTTGCGACCGTGAGTTGTTCCATTGTTTGCCGTTGCTGTCGCTGTCGTTGCCCTCCTCCATCCTCTTGTCCTTGGCTCTTTTTTGCGTCTCTCCCCCATCCGTCATTGACCCGTTGCTCTTCGTATATGCCTTGTTTGATGCCTTTGGGCTTCGTCTCTTTCACCCCCTCTCACTCTCTAGTCCAAAATTCGCCACTTTTCTTTTTTCCTTTGTCGATTCCTCGATTCCTCTCATCACTGTAAAGCCATTGCGATTGGCACCTTTCAAACAGACTTCCATGTCTCTGTTGTCCTCGTCGTTTGTCGCTTCTTGATGGCTAATGTGCGCGCGCGTGTGCTTGCTTGCGTATATTATAGAACGAAGATGGCCACAAAGATCCCAAAGTCATTGTAGAATCCGAAGACCAGCCCGAACGACTTCTCCTCGAGACAACGATCCAGAAGCAAGATGGTTTCCAGAAGCAACAAGGCAAGCGCGCCCCCGTTATCTGGCGTATCTCTTGTGATGACGACATGTCCACTAATGTAGGCGCAACAGAAACGCTCATCGTATGGCAGGAGCCAGGCAGTGGTGTGGATATGGCTTTGAGCTTCCAAGAGGCCGAAGGATGCGCCATGATATGGTTTGTCCCTCTCAACTCTCTCAACTCTTATTTCCCAACTTCCAATTTCCAATTTCCCATCTCCCATCCCCTCATCCATCACCTTCCAATCGCTGCTCCCTCCAATCCCAGTCAAGATGTCCTCAACCTCAATCGGGACACACTGGATGAACAGTCGCCAGCGCGTTCGCGATCGCCTACGCGAAAGAAGAATGATGCAAGCTAACCGTCAACGCGAAACCAGGCGTTTCATCAACACCGTCCAGCAGACACTCCAGCATCAACAAACTGATACAGGTATGTGCTCATCCCCATCCTGACTTCCGTGTAGCTGGTAGCTAATGGCGGGCCTTTGTAGACGATAATCTTGACGATGAACTGGCCATCGAACCGATCCCTCCCGTCAACCTCCCCGCTGCTGAACTAGGTAATCTGGCCGAAATCGAGACCAGCCTTAGATCCACGAGCTCGACCGCTGCTGGCCGTGAAGCTGTCGCCAAATACATCGTGTCTGAAGACTACATCGACAAGCTTATCCCCTTGGTCGAGATTGCCGAGGATTTGGAAAGCCTTCCTGACCTGCATCGTCTGTGCAACATTATGAAGACCATTCTCTTACTCAACGACACCTCCATTATTGAGCATTCTGTTTCCGATGAATGTTTGCTGGGCGTTGTCGGCGCTCTGGAATACGACCCTGACTTCCCCAGCCACAAGGCCAATCACCGCCACTGGCTCAGCAACCAGGGACGGTTCAAAGAGGTCGTGCCCATCGATGATGAAAACGTTCGCCGCAAGATCCATCAGACGTACCGTCTCCAGTACCTCAAAGACGTTGTCTTGGCCAGAATTCTCGACGATCCCACCTTCTCCGTGCTCAGCTCCCTCATCTTCTTCAACCAAGTCGAAATTGTCCAGCATCTGCAATCAAGTCCGGGCTTCCTCATGAACCTCTTTGGCATCTTCTCTGCCCATTATCCCGAGACAAAGAAGCGAAAAGAGGCTGTCTTGTTCATTCAGCAATGCTGTTCCATCGCCAAGACCGTGCAGGCCCCTGCTAGGCAGTCTCTGTACATCAACTTCCTCAACCATGGCCTGCTCCGAGTCATCTATTATGGCTTGAGGCACGTTGACGTGGCTGTGCGCGTGGGAGCTACAGACATCTTGATTTCCATCATTGATCACGATCCAATGCTGATTCGCCAAACCATTTTCCGACAGATGCAGGAGGGCTCCTCATCGCTATTGGATTGTTTGATCGATCTTCTCCTGGTCGAGGTTGATTTGGGCATCAAGACTCAAATATCAGATGCCCTTAGAGTCATATTGGACCATGGAAACACCGCCGCTTACAGCGAGCCTGCCACTAATAACAATGGCAACAACGCTGGTGGCAATGGCAACGCCAACGGCAACAACGGCAACGGTCAAAAGCAGCAAACCAGTGAGTATGCGTTCAGAGCTCGGTTGCAAATGTCCGTCGACCCACAACATGAACACTTTTTGAATCGCTTTTACGATACTTCTGCCGTCAGGCTGTTCAAGCCCATCATCGAGCTGGATAGCCGTCCTAATTTAGACTTTACCGTTCAGGAAGCTGCCATGTTTTCGGGGCTGGTAGAGGTGCTCGGCTTTTTCATTCGACAACATCATCGATTCAGCAGGTACTTCTTCATTGTCCATAATTTGGCAGCACGAATCATCCTGCTTCTCAAATGCCGCGACAAGTATCTGCAGCTGGTTTCGATTCGATGCGTTCGCTTGATTATCGGTCTCCAGGAGGAGCTGTACGTCAAGAATCTCATTACAAATGATGTCTTGGGTCCAATCCTAGAAGTCTTGGTCGAGACGGTGCCGCGTGACAATCTTGTCAGTGCCGCGTGCACTGAGCTTTTCGACTTTATCAAGAAGGAATACCTGAGGGACATGGTTAAGCAACTTGTGGCTGAGCACCGAGATAATTTGCTTCTCGTCGAGCATATTCCACCTTGTCGAGATTTGATCATGCGATATGATCATACAGAAGGGTTCACAACCAACATGGACATGTTCGCCGACACGGACGACGACATGATGAAGAGACCAACTCATATTAGAATGCTAGAGTATATGCCGATTGACTTACGTGAGGAGGAGTACTGGGATTCGTCAGATCCCGAAGATGACAACGAAGACCAGAGCTCAGGAGATAGGTCCTCCGACAGCGGCGGCGCCTCCTCAAAACCCCTGGTGGATTACGACTCTGATGAAGACGACGAAGATGCGGAAGAGAACGCGGAACACGATGCCGATCACCACGATAACGACAACGATGAGGATGCTGATGCCGACTTTGCTCCACGGCCATCAAGCGCCTCGCCTAACGTGCCGCCACCCGAGCGCCTGTCTGAAAAACGCCGACGAGAAGCAGACGAGGACGATGATGACGAACTAGGGAAGCTGATGCACAGCAAACGACGCAACAGCAGCTCTACAGAATCCAACTCGTCAATCACGCAGAATCTCAACCGCAGACGCAAGAACTTTGCAAACGGAGCCGGAAACGGTGTCACGCCTAGAAAGATAGCCATCAGCCTGTCGCCAGCCCTAAAGTCAGGCGGTCCCTCTCGATCTGACGACGACTTGTGAAGCGCTCCTACCAAGGAAAGGATGAGAGAAAAGCAGGAAACTATTTCTTGCCATTGTGTTTTTGTTGAAAATGGTGTATAGCACTTCATTCCCCCTTTTCTTACTCTTCTATTCCCCCTATTCCCCATCTTCTCATCTTTATTCTCACTTGTTCTATTTGTTGCATCAGTAATTTTCATCTTCGGTTTTCATCATCCTTTTTTTGGGCCATGGCAATGTAAAGAGCACAGATTGTTTATCTGTACCAAAGGGTTGGCACCTCATCAAATGAGGGGGTTTGGCGGCGGACAGGCGAACAGGCGGCGTTATGTGATTTCTTCTTCACTTTCCCTCCCTTGATCATCACCCATGGGTAGTCACCGCGCAGTGGTATACACGACCGCAGCGGTGTCATGCATCTGGACATAGAATTGAGTGGAGTGGCGGCAGCGGTGATTCAGATGACGATGACAGCGGATACACAAAAACACACGAAAGAAGAGAAAATAAATAAAATGGTCTCAGGGACAAATGGATTTGACCCAGAGGCTAGCGGAATATCATTGCTTTGGTTGCCCTGGATTTTCCTCGAACTGAAGGAAACGGGAATTTGCAACCCATCATCATTTCTTTTTATGCTCGACATGTATCATATATCAGACGTACCTAGCAAATGTAATTGGCTTTTGCTCTTAGCCACGGAGGGAACAGAGCATGAAAGCGAAAGCAAAGGATCACGCCGACGAGGAGAAGGGTAGACAAGGGTACTTAGACAATGCAATGTCTTCAAATGACGCATACTTTGCTGTGAAGCGGACAAATCGAAAATGTGTTGTGTATTGTAATTGCTGATGAACCGGCTCGTAGCCTAAGTATTTCCTGGTATCGAAGATGGTAGTAAACATTGCAAAATGATCGTCCCGTCTATCTTCACTGTAGAATTTCCAGGGTTCCGTTTCCCAATTCCTTGCTTCTTCTCCCTCCACTTGCTGCATTGTTGTTGTTTTCCGAGTAGCTTGTCATCGTTTACAGTCGTTTAAATTGTCTGGACCATATTTCGTAACCTGAAATCATCATGGCCGTAATGTTTCGTGGTGTCTTTTCAACTGCAGCCACCAAGTCCGCCATTCTGATTTCCATCTTTTCAGTGCCTGTCTCGTCTTCATCGCATCTGTCTAGCACCGCAAGGCCGGCTTCGTTGCATATGGCCTTGATCTCTGCTCCCGAGTAGCCGTCTGTGATACGTGCCAGCTCAGGAATTTCCACGTCTGATGCGAGGGCGAGGCCCCGCAGATGCACGCCAAAGACGGCTTCTCTGGCGGAGAGATCAGGAGGTCCAACGTAGAGGATTTGGTCAAAACGACCCGGTCGAAGCAGAGCTGGATCCATAGCTTCAGGGCGGTTTGTAGCAGCCAACACCAGAACACCAGTGAGAGACTCGAAGCCATCCATCTCAGTCAGGAGAGTCGTAAGCATATTTACAGAGCCGGAGCTCCTGGCGGCGGCGGCTCCGTTGCCTCCCGTTCGACTGCCACCAATGGAATCTATTTCATCAAAGAAGATGATAGAAGGGGCAGCAGCCCGGGCTCGTTCAAAAAGCGTACGCACTGCACGCTCAGATTCACCAACGTACATGTTGAGAAGCTCAGCACCCTTGACGGCAAAGAAGTTGAAAGAAGATTCGGTAGCCATGGCTTGAGCAGAGAGCGTCTTGGAGCAGCCGGGAGGCCCGTAGAGGAGGAGGCCTTTAGGGGGCTGACGGAGGACATGACGAGAAGATGGATTGGTATCCTAAGCGATGTTGGTCAATATGATGAGATTCTCCAACTAGTGAAAAAGAAAGAAAGTAAACAGCATACCTTTGTATTTTTGATCATGCGAGAGAGGACCTTTTTGAGAGATTCTTGGCCGCCAACGTCCTGCCAGTGGATGGTGGGTGGCTTCAGGTTGATATCGTGCATAGCAGTGGGACGAGTGATGCGAAGGGCTTGCTCCATGTCTTGTGAAGTAAGAAAGTGTTGCTGTGGCTGTTTTTCCTGAGAGGATTGTTCCTGTGTAGCATTGATATCAACGCTGTTAACACCCTCGACGACAGCGTCGACAGCAGCTTCGTCGTCCAGTCTGTTTCCGAGGATTTTCTTGGCGTTCAAAACCAGATTGGCAAGATCGTCTCCGTTGTATGCGTGCGTCTTTGATGCCAGGCTAATCAGGCACGGCTCCTTCTCCTCAGCTCTTAATGGCGGGTTGAAGAAGCGCAATATCTCGAGGCGCTCTGTTGCTCGAGGGATAGGCAGAGCAATGTTTTCACGGAAACGTGAGCGTTTCTGAAGCTTGGCTGGTACATCTGCGAGATAATCCTGGCACGTGGCCATGACTACTACACGAGGCAGAGCACTGGAAGCAGAGGCCGCCGCAGAGAGGTTATCGAGCTCTTCGCCGAGCGCTTCGATGACAGAGTCGCGGTTGGAGCGGTCTTTGGCGAGGATATCTTCAAGACCATCAATGAAAAGCAGACTTGGCTGTTGAGACTGAGCCTGCTTAAACGTCTCCCTGATGGATGACAATTTGTCTGAGGGCCGAATCCAGTGAACGCGGCCCCAGTTGGTAGCGGCAATGCGCTGGAGAATAAAAGTTTTGCCGGTACCATGGCCTCCATGGATGACGAAGCCGCAAGACTCACGCTCGTTTGGAACCCAGAAAGGCCGGCCAAAGCCCCTGAGAAACTGGTTGATGGTGTTGACTTGAGTTGATAAACCAGGGACTCCGGTGACAGTCAATGGACTGGAAGTTTCAGCAGCGGTTTGTGTATCTTCAATGGCATCTCTGTCATCTCCTAATTTTAGAATCCGTACTGTTGACGAGGCGATTTTGAAGCGAGCTAGATTGTGAGACTGCCCATTGACAGAGATGACTTTGAAGGTCCGACGCAGCTTGTTGATATTGACACCTTCGAGGGTCATACCAGGAAAGACTTGTTCCGCACGATCCAGAGAGACGCTGATGGAAAATTCCCAGCATGGGAAGTGTTTTGAATCTGCAGCCGTGTCTTTTTGCTGGTCCGCCTCGCTGGTGGTATCTTGAACAACAACTTCTTCTGCGTCTGGCATAGCTGTCTCCGCGAGTGAAATTCTCACTACATCTCCCAACTTGAATCCTGTGGCCTCTTGAAATGCCCTCGTCATCATGACCACATTGGCACTGACGTTCTTTTCGGGGAGAGCCCATAGCGAGGCTTCTCGTCTTTTTTTACTGCTATTTTCTGCCTCAGAAGCGTTGCTAGAGGTATCATCTGTTTGCAGGCTCTCAATAATGCATGGCCGACCGCTGTCAAGGCCGCCGGTAAGTGAGATGAGGGAATCTTTGCTGACGTAGATGCGAGCAGCTCCTAGAAGACTGGCTCTTTCAAGACTGACGTTTGAAAGAGGACGCACTTTGGCGTCGATGCTTTTTTTCAGCATCCTTCGGTTTGTGGGCGTATGATGTGAATTGGGAGAAGCAAAAAGGAGATTACGATGAGAGAAAGAAAAGAAGAAAAAGAAGAAGAGGGGGTGGAAGAAGTTGAAAATGTCGCCAGTCGCGAGGATTTACATGACATTCAGAAGGTGCAAGTGTGGGCTGCTAGAAATATGGGAAGGCCCATCTAAGAATTTTCCTCTTTAGTAGCGGTAGTGCCAATCGTGTACTAGCTCACAGATCTGGGCGTAGGGTGTACTTGTAGATGATGAGAAATACTTGCTTTATCTACTAAACGTTGCAAATATTGCATTTACTATAGTAGTACGCTCAGAGGCCATGATAAAAATCCAAATGGGTTTGAATATCGTTCATTACAGTATATAGAGTTTGGGAATAAACAGGCCATATTCCTGCCGTCCTGAGGTCTCTTTGTTAAAGCTCCTCTATGCCAACGGCTGGAGCAAACATGAAGTATCCACTACCTGCGAGGCACTAGTAGCAACAGAAGGTTGACAGACTTAGAATCCTGTACCTGTACCTGTACCTGACCCGACGTCATGTCCTAAAACACCAAAGAAGAGAGTTTCTACATTTCTCACCCTCCCTTCTTTCTTTTGCCTCTCTTTTCAGCAGAGCAAAGAGCTCGAGCTCAATGCGGCCTCTCGCCAGCTACCAGTCCATATGATCAGCCCTCGATGGACTCCTCGGGCGACAGCGACCGTCGCTTATCTTTGCATTCCCTGCCCTTGCAGAAGAAGCTTCGGCACAACTAGAAGCGACGGCAACGATGATGGCTCCGAGACGAATCGTCGGCGCAGATATTCAAGCCCTACGTTAAAAGGCGAAACCCCCCTTTATCGAGCGAGGAAGGTCGAAGCGAATAGTGACGGTTCCAGAGTTGAAGCAGATCGGCGACCTCGACGGCCTCAAGCAGGGTCTAGTAAAAACGATGGAAGAATAGAAGACGGAGATGCAAAAGGCAGCAGCGGAGACTATTGGCCGCAGCTACAGAGAAGAGAAAGAGCCAAAAGACGAGCAGACGATGGCGGCGACAGCGGCGACGGCGCGGCAAACGCTGCCCTCGCCAGCGTTTTTGCCCCGCGACTCAATATCCAGAATCCGCAGGGCACAAAGGACTCGTCGCTGGTGATGCTCGTCATTGATGGGCTGTCGTCTAATCTCAACGCAGCGGACTTTTACCGCATTGCGCCAAAGGATTTGTCGAATTGGCAGAGCGTGATCAAGAAAGGTACTTATACGGGCTTCTTTTGATTTTTGATTTTCGCTAACCTCAAGCCCCTTCTACAGTCCAAATGCAACGCACTGTAGATTCCTTCGAACCGCTTGGCCGCTACCTGCTCACCTTTAGCACAGCCCAAGCCGCGGCCTCGTACCGCGATCGGCTCGTCCGGCTGCATAAACTCAACGGCTTCAAGCTGCGATCTGCAAGTGGCCTCTGGGAGAGCAGCGTCCCTGCGGCTCTCAAAGTGTCTCTTACGTCCCCTTTAGCAGCAGCATCAGGACCAACCACGACGACAGGAACAGCAAAAGCAGCAGTTGCTAAAACTATCAGTGATGCGGTTGCTTCTTCTGACTTGCCACTCAGCAACACAGAGAGCGTGGTCGATTTGGCCAACTCCTTCACCATTGCACCTGCTTCTCAGGAAACGCTTTCGGTTCAGCGCAGAAAAGTGACCCTTACCCGGCCGTGGGCGAAGCGTTTGGCCGGCATGGTCGAGAATCTCGGATTCGGCGAACTGCCGCATGTATTGATGCTGGAGGTCTACCCGCCTACTCTGAGTGCTGGGGAGCTCAACCAGTTCATCCGACGAGATGGCGAAAGCAGAGGCCTGAGGTGGCCGGTGTCTGCTCCCCAGCATCTCAAGATGAATAGTAATCTAGAGCAAGCTCCAACAAGAACAAGGGGCTCAAGGACAAAAGATATTGATCAGGGTGAGGATCAGGATAAGGAAGACAAAGCAGCGTCAAACCGGCAGCAACAGGGCTCATCGTTCAAGTTCAACGATCGCGAGACGGAAGAGAAGCTCAAAGGCCGGTTCGTGCTTGCATGCACCGACGAGGCAGAGGCACGGCGCTTTCAGCAGAGCTGGAACAACAGAGCGTTGACGACGCTGCGGCCGCAACCAGCTAGATATGTAGTTTATGCATCAATAATAAGCTGGTAATAACTAGATATTTCCAATTAATCTCTATTCACATCATCCTAATGGACTTTCTTAATGGACTTTAATATTGCATCACACGCTTTATTCGTTCATTCGTCTTCGTGAGCATAGCCCAACGTTTACAAACCACGAACAGCTGTTTTCTCTCGTCTGGTCTCTCTTCTGTCCTTCCACTTCCTCTCCTTCTTCTTTCTTCCTCCAACTCCTTTCTCTCTATTGTGACACTTGCCAGTGTCTGTTCGCCCGTCTCATTCGCTCTTTGTATCTTTTGCCGTGTTATGCCAGACTCCAAAGCGAAATACAACAGCACGGCTTGGCCGTTACATGAAATAAGGAAAAAGGGTCATGGCACAGTAATAGTAATAGTAATAGTTTTTTGTATATTAAAACCCAAATTAATGAAGAAAACCAGGGCAAAGAATAACGAAGCAAAAGTAGAATCAAGGAAATAACCACAAAGGGAAGTGGACAAGGGCAAGGATAAGGGGGTAAAAGTAAAAGTAAGACCGCAAAAACTCCGAAACCATTATTGCTCTTTCTAAAGTTGGGGGGGGGGGGGGGGGAGTTAGGTTCGCAGGGCGGATTTTTCAAACTTCGCCGAGTGGCATTGGGAGTTTTAAAATAAATTAATAAAAGGAAAAAAAAGAAACAAGGAAACTCTCATGACCCTCATGTCCGAAATGTCATTACTGGCTTGCAGTTGGCAAAGAGAAAAGAACTGCAGGCCTCATAACAGCTCGTATATCTTGATCGCGTTGCTCTGCCGTCTCCATTATATCATACGTCAAATACACTCTCCAAATCAACGTTATGCCTGGTATGTCTGTGCTTGCTGCGCATGACTCGTCAATCCTCCTAATTTTATCTCTTTTTTAATCATTGTTTTTTTTTTTTTTTTTGGTCTGTGTCGTTCTTGTTTTAGCAGCACTTGCTGCCGCCGTTGTCGCTCGCCTCTCCAACCTTGACGCCTGATGAGACGCCAGCGTCGGTCTTTTGGTTGTCGATGAGGCGCTTCTTGATGTCGGCAGCCAGGCTGTAGAAGGCCTGGTCGATGTTGATGTTGCTCTTGGCCGAGACTTCAAGGAAGGGGATGCCGAGCTCGTCCGCCAGCGCCTGACCCTGCTCGGTGGACACGACTCGCTTGTCTTCCCAGTCGCACTTGTTGCCGATTAAGATCTTGTTGACGCCCTCGGTGGCGTGCTGCTCTACGTTTTGGAACCAAGTGCGGATGTCTATAGCAGGATGAAACATGTGTTAGCCAACAGTCTAGAGAATTTCAATTTTGGGGGGTATTAATTATGGGCGCTGAGAAAGTTGTCCAAAGCAACTCCCCTGGTATCGCATCAAGCGAACCAAAGCGTCTGTTTGGCGAAGATGCCTGTGAAAGGGTTTTTTTTGTAGGCGGTCAAGCGTCCAGAAAATATAAACGGAGAGACAAATTGACCGAGAGCAAGAAAACGAACAAAGATAGATACAAGGGCGGTGAGAGTCATGTGGGGAGAAAGGGGCGGAATTGCTGGCTTTCAAACATACTGGCAAATGATCGCTCGTCGGTGACGTCGTAGACGAGCAGAATGCCCATGGCACCGCGGTAGTAGGCGGTGGTGATGGTTCGGAAACGCTCCTGGCCGGCGGTATCCCAGATCTGCAGCTTGACCCGCTTGCCGTCCAGCTCAATGGTCCTGATCTTGAAGTCGATTCCAATGGTGGTGATGAAGGACGGTGTGAAGGAGTCTTCACTGAACCGCAGTAGACAGCATGACTTTCCAACACCAGAGTCACCAATCAGCAGGAGCTTGATCTGTTGAGGACATGGCCCGGTTAGCATTTTCTCATCTCACAGTCAGGTTTGTAACGTCGCCCAACAAACGCCCTCTGCTCGCTCGAGTATACCTGGAGGGCGTATGCGAAAGGGGGGGAAAGAAAAGTTGGGAGGATGACTCGTACCAGGAAATCGTAATTGCGATTGCTAGGAGCAGGCATTTTGAGCAAGTGGTATAGCCTCGATTAAGGGGGTTTTGCTTGGTTGCGTGGAGCGGTTCGAGTCGAGGCCGAAGTGGCGGGGAATGCGAAACGCGGCAAAGTTGAAGAAAAGGATCGGGATTCGCGAACAACGAAAGAAGAGAGCCGCAACGACAGTCAGCTGCTTCTCGTCGTACAACCAGACGGCGATGAATCCGGGTCAAAGCAAACGCTTCAGCGAGTTGGAGTGGCGGTTAAAAGTGGTGATGCCGGTGCAGAGCCAGCAAGGAGGGATGAGCTGATCTGATCTGGTCAAAGAGACGCGGGACGCTGGAGATGCGAAGCAACGCGCAGGCGCAATTGAGCGAGAGAAGAAGAGAGATTCTGGCGATAGCAAAGAAAAAAGGGGAGACGCGGTTCTCCAGTAGTCGTCGGTGAAGATGGTTGCAGAATCGAGGTTCTGGGGATTCTGGACAGCTGGGAAGGCGGTCGGGACACTTGGCCGAGATGGATGCAGGCGTGCATACGTAAAACCTGCACAAGTACAGGCTGCGCATAAATCGGCGGGCGAGGTACCTGCAGGCGCTGGATGGGGCAAGGGGTCGGGCAGCGGGCTTTCGGGGGGGTCTGGCGCCGGGGCAGCCGCTGGAGCTGGGCTAATGTTTAGCGGGAGGAGTCCACTGTAAGGGCGCTGGCGTGGATACTGAGGCTGCTGGACGATGCAGATATGCAGCTTGAGCTCTTATCTTCAATATTCGACTGCCTTGTGTATCCGAACACGCTGCGTGAGACTTTGAAAACCTCTTGTATATCTGACCTTGATCCAACACGATTCATTACGGCAGCCAAGTTGTAAGCCCTCCATAGATACCTATTGCAGGCATCCATTGAAACTAATTACAGACCTGTAGGCTGGTGACCTGAGCTTCATTCCAGCAGCGAGTCACAGCAATACATGGTCTTGACCATGAACTAATGAGAATAATCTACCCTCATAGCAAGATTCCTAGTAAGGTTTTCACATGTGTAACTCATCTACCTACGGATGTTAAAGTGGGGGAGGACGATGCATTGTTTTTCCCCCCTTACTGTTGAAACTTGAACTCCTTGGTCGTACATTTGGACCCTGGCCGCCGCTGCAGATGAGGGGCGGCCTCTTTAAAAACGACGGTCTATTACTACTGTAGTCTACAAAATGGCCATTTTCACCAAAACATTGCTGCCTTGGCTGTAAACTTAGAATCGATGACATGCTTTAGATTTTTGAACTTCTGATTCTTTTCTTTTTCTGGCTTGGTTCGTTGGTTTAGCCCGAGGGGAAGACGTCATCACACGCCCCGTGCCTGTTTCCGTACTCTGAAGCCTTTTGGGATGGTGTCATGGCTGCATGTCGGAGTGGCGGTTAATCCCGTCCGGCTGACGATGGTCAAGGTAGGTTGTACGTGTAGAGACAGATACGTAGATGATAATAATTCGAGCTCTTGTCCTATAACTAACAACTGTCTTGACCGAAAACTAACTGACAACCTGATATATCAACTCTTATCAACTTGTATAGCCTTTACAAGACCTACAAAACGTAGAGCATAAAGAGGAGAAAGAAAAAAATGAAAACCAATATCAAAGATCTCTCCAACTCCTACCCTTTATAAAGCAGTTTCAAAGCAGAAAGATTCAGTGACTGACAAATCCAGATCAGGAATTATCAAGGTGAATTCAGAAAGATTTAGGAAAGGAGTGAGCCAATGACTGGGAGGTCCAATCAGGAAGCTTCGAAAGGTGAAAGAGTGACAAGATGACTGTGAAATCTAAATCAAGAAACTCTAGGGAAAAAAAAGAGTGAAAAGACGACTAAGCATCAACAACTCTCACTCCTGCTTCTTCTCAAACACATTGTTCCACATCGCCGGCAGCTCTCCCGGCGGCGGCAAAATCACCTCTTTTGCCTGAAAAGCCGGTGGCCCCTGGAACAAGTTTTGCGTGCACAGCTTGTCAATCGTCTCGCAGTACGCACTCCACAAGTCGCAGTTCTTCAACCCAACCGGCGGCGAGCTCTTCTTACACTCTTTGCTCTGCGCGTAGCAGTCCCTGACGGCTTCCCAGCACGAAGTGCTGTCCGAGTACGGCGCGAGGGCCTTGCCGCACCAGTTGGCGCTCTTGAGGAGGCAGTCTGGGGGGATAAGGCCGACTGTCTGGACCATGGGCTCCAGTCTGGGATCCGAGTTGGCCGATGAATGCGATTTGTCGGGCGTGAATACCTCGGGGCCAGGGATGGGGTAATCTTGAATGTCGTCTTGGTAGATGTCAAACTTGAGCCCTGGTGTGTCGAGATCTACATATCCAGGGATGGTGGCGAGATGCTCCTTGGGGACTTTGAGGGCACCGTTGACGTCGCTGTCGAGGAAGATTTGTGCACAGCCCAGGTAGTATTGCGGGTCGTTTCGATGAACGGCCCAGTGCAAAGCCAGAATTTCAGGTCGTACGAGATAGTATCCCGACGGCAGTCCCTGGGGGAGATTGACGGACAGCAGACCGTTGTTCTCGACAAGCGTATCCACGCACCACTTTTGCGTCTCCGAGCTGTAGCCGTCTTCCCAGATCTTGAACCACCCGTCACCAGAGGCGCTGTCAGTCAACATGTTGTCGACTCTCTTGAGATAGACGGCACATGGGCCCAGGTGGCCAGAATCAATGCTGCCCGGCTGCTGAGCATCAGGCCAGAGGCGAAACTCAAAAGTGAGCAAGGACCCTTTCTTTGTAGGACAGACAAAAGGAACAGGCTCGGTGCCATTGCGACCTGTATGTCAGACATTAGCATCTAGCCATTGAACGCTAGGAGAGAGGGAGAGAGCTTGGCTAACCGCAGGCCATGTCTTCAGAGGTAACAGATTGGATTGGGAAGGTTGCCGTCTCCCCATCGTATGGCATACGAACACAAGTGCCATCTCCTTGGCTCTTGCGATCGACATAGAGGGTAGTAAAGGTAGTATGGGCATTTGCCAAAGCGGCAAAGCCCAGCATTAGGCGCACAGCACCAGTATAGGCCTTCATGATGAACAAGAAGATGCTAATGATGATGAATGCTAGGAGAACAGGTTGAGTATGAGGAAATAAATGATGAGTGAATTAAGACGGGTAGGTCACAAGTGGTATATCCCAACATGCAGGCGAAAAGTGTCAACCGGCCCATATTATAAACGAGGTGGTACCCTTATCATCCAGCTTGTTAGACTGACTTTCACTTGTACTTCTACGATACTTGAGGGAGAAGTGACTGTTCTGGCCCCATGATCGTCACATACCGAATCATAATTTGCGCAGCCACTTTCTCATCGGCTTGTATGTACACTGTATAACCGATAGCGTTCCCACCCTTCACCCATCTTTGTACCTATCTAGATGGTCAGCTTTGTTTGAAAAGAGCTGAAAGAGGGCAAGATGAAAGAAAACCGCCTGATCAAGACCATATACAGCAGTAGCCTTGATGTCAATGAAACCGAGCATTTTGTCTGCGACTCGAGTCAAAGAGCGTTGCGAGTGACTTGAGCTTGAGCAAAATCGACGCTCGCTTCACGATGGCTTCCAAAGTACAAGACGAGGCTTGCGGCAAACCGCGGACGGGAGGGTGGCGTCAAACAGGGGCCAATGTTTGTAATGGCTGAATCGGAAGCAAAATGCGGCGCTGTGGCGTGCTACGTTGCCGGCAAGCTTATATCTTATATCAAGCCGATGAGGATCCGTGAGCTCATATCAGTTGAGGCTGAATTGTCATCGATGCATCGGCTCAGGGGCAAGCGCCATCAACAATCAACATTGATGAATCCGTACATCCATCATCACTCATCGAAATACAATAAGCGGGTAGTGGATGTAACATAGCACCAGCCACGAAGAAAAATCGACAGATGCAGACAATGACCAAATACCATGAGAAGAGAGATTTCATAACCAAAAATAGAAAGAAAAAAAAAGAGGGAAAACAGGTATTTCAAGTCGGTGGCTCCAATGAAAAGGCTTTCACGCCACTGATAGCACCAAATTGTCTCCAGTCTATGCCAAGTATCCTCTGCTTTCAATCTCTTTCGCCCATCCTAATGAATTACTGTGTCCTTTCGCTTGTTTCCCAGTGTCAACATAGTGGAGGCGACAGATTTTATATATTCAAAATCATTTTTTAGATTGTTTTGTGTTTTCATATGGTACAAATTATAGTACACTCGTCATGACGTCGGGTATTTATCGCTTTTGTTATGCTTTAATGTGGCTTTCTGCTTTTTACTCGTTGATCTTGGCAAGGATTCTAGATGGCATTTTGTTAGGATTCTCCCGTGATATCACTGCCATTATTCATTTGTAAAATGATGTCACTTACTCGCTGTCGCGGAACAGGTGGTACTCTTCCTCGCCAGACTTGATGGGAGCGCCACCAAACTAGAAAGATGGCCATATCAGCTTTACAGTCCTTTATTTCTCTTTCTCCTTGACCACCATCCGTGATCAACACATGATATCCATACCTGGGGAATCAGCACTCGGTCGCCAACAGCAACGCTCATGGCGATGCGCTTGCCATCACGGTCCAGGCTACCGGGTCCGACGGCCAGAACCTTGGCCTCGTTGAGCTTCTCGACGCTGGACTCGGGCAGGAAGATGCCGCTGGCGGTCTTGGTCTCGGCCTTGACGCGCTGGACGAGCACGCGGTCCAGGAGGGGAGCGAGGGCACGAATGGAGCGGACAGTAGACTGGATCTTTACGTTAGCGAGCTGCTTGCTTATTCTCTTCTCTCCAGATCCAAATTGCTCCCATAGGAGAGACAATCGCACAGCGTTCCCAGTGGTGGCTTATAAAGGATATATGTCAGTTTAGCAGCTGACATATATGCCTATACAAGTTCCACCGAGAGGCAGCCGAGGTGGGTGAATTGGCGATGCGAGTTCATGACAGCTGCGCCATGATTCAAGAGAAGTAGCCATACCATTGTGAAGGATTGAGTGCGATTGACGATATCACGAACGAGGTTGGTGGAGAGAAGCAAATCGAGACAAGAGTGGAAAAAGAAAAAAAGGCTGGAGAAGCGGTTCAGATCGGCAGCTCGGTTGCTGCTTTCCCTTCTAACGGCTTCCAGAATCCAGCAACTGCTAGTGGACAATTTTTTTTGTCGGCCCGGGATTTCCCCTCTTCCGAAGCCTTTCTTTTCTTTCCTTTTTTTACCCTCTTTGCTCCGCAATAGCTTCAAGGTATAGTAGCTTCGGAAAACACAACCCCGCCATGCTAAGCCGAATGTGGAAGAAAATGCCCCTCAGTGACTAAAAACTGCTCATGAACAGCTACAGTTGATGTCAATGAGATTGATCTTCACTCGATATTGTAAATGAATTGCGCGAGCAGTAACGTACAAAGAAAAGAAATATGTAGTTAACTTTTGACAGAGTTTTCATTTATTATGTCCAGATACATTGGCCTTTGTAAATCACCAACAGTTGACGCCGTCTATATCCCCCTCCCCTTCCATAAGTCGCCTGCACCCTCCGAATTCCGTCTCCTAAATGCCCATCAACTATGTAAACAGGTAAATAGTATGTCACTATGTAAGATGATGAAATAGATTTAACCCTGAGGTTAGGTTTGATCTGCTGTTTGAACAAAACTGTTCGACGCACTCCCAACATATGGCGCACTGCCTGCCATACAACACGCTTTACACCATTCGCACACCCGATGGAGACTCCTGGCGGTGATATTTCTCCATCTTTCTCAGTCATAGCTTCCTCCGTCCTCCGTTATTCTTAAAAAAATATTTGGTATTGTGCAATTTCTTCCCATGATGCAAAGCCAACAATGTAAAAAACGCCCGGCAAACGTGTAGATAAAGAGAGATGTGGTAAGAAATGGTAACGAGATAACATGCATAGAGAAAGAGAGAGTCGTAGAATGAAATGAATCGAAAACTGACAAGAAAAAGAAAATAAAAAAAGAAAGAAGCAAATGATACACACGATTTAACCCTGACATCTCAGCTTAGACTTTTTTCGGAGGAGGCGGCTGAGAATTGGGAGGCTCCAAGACATGCTTGTGGTCGCGGGCTGGGATGTGTTCACCGCTATCGAGCTGCTGGCAAATGACGGTATCGGCGATCCACGGTTCGTCCAAAATCTCGCCCATTCTGGCTCGAGTTTTGGGGTTGACGTCCAGCATGCGGTGGATGATGTGGCGGCTTTCGCGGGGGAGTAGCCGGAGAATCCTCCAGGGTCCCCGGACGACTTCCTTTGACCTGTCGGGTACGCTGACACCTGGGATGGGAAGCTTTGGGGTGTCAGGACCTACCGCTTGGGAATCCGTCGAATCATTTCTCTTGTGTCCCGTGCTGCGTTGAGACTTGCCATCATCGTCGGCCAAGAATTCTCGAGCAGGCACAGATGAAAGGTCGTTGGTGGACTTGGGACGTAGCAGTTTGCCGGGATCGTGGCCAGGAGTTGGCGTGGCTGCAAACAGCTTGTACGAATTGTCTGTCATGCGGGGAATCTTCCAGGGGAAACGGCGCAAAGTCATGCAGCAAAAGATGATGGCAAGAGACCAAATGTCGACTTCTTCGGCGTTGTACTCCTTGGAATCGTAAACCTCAGGGGCCAAGTACGGGTCGGAACCGACAATGCCTGCAGTGATTGTTAATTAAGTATGGAGCAGTAGATTTAGCGGCTGTAGTAGAGGAAATTCCTTTTTAAACTTACCCTTGGCCGGGACGGATCCGCTTTCGAAAGGATACTTGAAGACATGGGCGCTACCAAAATCGATAATCTTCATAATGCCCTTGTCGCTAACAACAACGTTGTCGAGCTTCAGGTCCCGATGCGCGAGGCCCATACTATGGAGGTAGGTGACACCATTGAGGATCTGCAGGAAGCTGCATCGAATCTCCTCCCGCGACATCCTGCCGGTCATGACAATGGCAAAGAGGTCAAAGGGCGCATACTCCATGACTTCGAACCAGCGGCCCTTTTCCTGCAGGATGTCCAGGGTCTCAATGACGTTGCCGTGGTGGAGAGTCGATCCAACGCAGAACTCGGCCGTCACCTTTTTGTTGTACTCCCTTTCCGTCTCATACGTGTGTCGGGCCCTGAATTCCTTGACGGCGAAGACGGTGCCGTCCTCGGTTCGACGCATGAGCCTGACGGAGCCGCCAGCACCAGATCCCAGCACCTTGCCGAGTCTTCCGTACTTGGAGGTCAATCCATGGTCGTCGCCAAAGGGCAGCTGTTGGCTAGAGCGGCTGGCCTGACTGGATTTGGACGATGACTTGATGGAAGATGACGGTGACTGGTCCCGCTTCTTGTGGTGGTGGCCTGACTTTCGGAAAAAGCGCTTCAGATCGGACATGGAGCCCGTAGACGCATGTCCGTGAACGCCATCAACCGATCCAGAATCGTCACTCGGCCTGGGCTGGCCGTACACGCCGACGCTTGTTTTTGACGAGGTGGGCGATGGGCCACCTCGGTCCTTCTTCTTCCTCGAGATGGAGAATATGAATCGTGGGTCGACTGAGTGGCGGGTGGCATGCTGCTGCTGAGGAGGGCGGCGGCCCTTTGCATACGGGTCGTTGGCATCATTGTGCTGAGTCATTGGCTTGGAGTAATAGTTGGAAGCCGAGCTCCTGGATGGGCTGGATTCCCGAGACACGGGCACGGAGCTGGGCCCGACGGAGAAGAAGTCCTTTCTGTGAAGTCCTCGAGACTCTGGGCGATGATCATCGGTGGACGACGAGGCCCTGGACATGGCGCGGTCAGAAGAACCAGGCCGGTGGGCGAGGGCTGCTGCTGCTGCTTTCCGATCCGTAGCGCCAGCGGCGGAAGAAGGCGGCTTGTCGGCGGTAGGGCTCGAAGGCTGCGGAGTGATGATATGATGCGAATCGCTGACGGAGGTAGCGGGAGTAGGAGTGCCGGCAGCACCGGCGTCCTTGTGTAGCCTCTTGTCGGGATCCGAGCCGGCAGGCGTCAGTGGAGGAGAGGCCAGCGCGGAAAGCCGAGGACTGCCGTGAGGAGATTGCCATCCGGACGAGTTTGGCGTAGGCAGTCTGGTAGAGTCATTGGAGCCATCTTCGCGAGAAGCAACCTGGCCAGGGGTGGGCGGGTTAGCAGCTGAACGGAGTGGGAACTGAGAAGGAGAGGATATGCAGGGCATGATGACGGGCATCAAGCTGGGCTGCGGGCGGCCGGAGACGTGAGGCGATGATTCGGGGATGAAAACATTCGGAGCGCTTATGACTGGATATATCATCGGCTGGCATGGAGGATGCAAGCCAATGATGGGGCCATCTTTGCGGAGCTAGAGGACAATGGAAATAACCGGTGGTGAGAAACACAAAAAAACATGACGTTGTATAGGTAATTTGTTTGTATGACGGGGGAGGGGGGGAGAGTATGGAACGAGTGACAAGGAATAGAGAAGCAGGCAGGCAGGCAAACAAACACAGGCAAGCAGAATAGGCCAAGTCCGAGATACCACAGTAGCTAGCTATCCTTGAAACAAGACAATTGGGGAGAAATGGATCGTGGTCATGGTCATGGTGGCTGGAGCTCTTACCCGTGATGCAGGAAGGGAAAAGGCCTCGAATCCAAAAGTGCTCATGCGGCGTTCCTGCAAGGGCACCGCTTGGAGCGACTTTTGAAAGGCCTTGATCTGGTCGGCAGCCACCTCGTTGAAGGTATCGAAGCGATCCGAGGTGTTTGTGGTGGCCGTCCCCAGGGACTCGTTGACGGAAGCAGGCTTGGACGAGGCGGGATCGACTGCGATTCCTGGCGCTGAAGTTGGTCCCGGCGCGGACGGCGATGCTGGATTCGGAGCTGACGTTGCCGAAGCTGAAGCTGGAGCTGGAGCTGCGGCGGGAGTAGCAACAGCAGCAGGTTGTGTTTGCGGCTCAATCTCCTCGACGGCAGAGGAGAAGCGAACGGCGGCGGCGGCTGGAGCTTCGCGAGATTTGCTGGAGCTCGACATGTCGCCCTGAGACGACGACGGGGCTTTAAACGGGCACAGAGAGGTCAGCACACCTTGCACTGGGTATTTGTCACGGCCGGCGTCATCACCAGCAAGAAAGGCAAGTTCTCGTCATGCCAGATGCCGGCAGCTCCAAAGGCGGATGCGCCGGACGGGCCCGTAGAGGAGAAACCAGAAACTCACCACCAGCGGCCTCGTGCGGCAGAGGCGTCTTTGAGGTCGCGGACGACGCCATGGCAGCAGGAACTGGAATAGCGACGACTCTGTTCTTTCTTGTTGCAGGTTGGAGCAGAGAGGAAGGAGAACAAGAAAAGTCGAGTAGAGGCGCTACAGCGAAGATCCTTCCATAGGAACCAGAACCAAGGACCAGGACCGGGAGTCTTGTGGGAGCGAAGTTTTGGAAAAGGGCCGGGGCGACGGTAGCGGCAGCGCAAAGCCGGTGGCCAGCGAGAGAGCGAAAAGGCGACCGCTTTTTTTTACCTCTCCTCTGGTTCGGGCTTTGCGCGACGATGGAAATGAGATTGAGCAGAAATCGGGATGGATGGGTTGGAAGGCCGATGGTGGGGCAAGTACCGGTACAGGCCGGATTGAGTACCCACGGGAGCGTATGCGCTGTGCTGTGCTGTGCTGTGCCTGCGGTAGACGCTGCAGGGCATTCGCTACAGGGCTCGACAGGGCTCTACAGGGGGATTGAAAGGGACTGGACTGGACACGCCTAGCACACAGCATTGAACATGGCATCCAACTCCGCAGCTACTGCTGCTGCTGTTCAGGCATTACAAGGTATTAATGGCCACATCTATGTTCAAATTTGTTTGATAAGACGCTGCTTACTGGGCATGAATTTGCGTCTCTCTCCTCTTTCTTCCTTCTGCAAGGGATCTTGGCTTGACAACCAGCGATACACCACGTCACAGGTAGCCGGTACATACTGCCAAATCCGGTCACATGCTTTGGCACTCGTCCGTCCATTGCTCCCCAATTGCAGCATGTACTGCCAGGTACCGCTTCTCTTGGATTGCCGCATTCTGACGTTCGCAATCCAGTGCGTGCAGTCCTCAGCTTCAGCTACAGTGTTCTTCGAAGCAGCAGATGGATTATACAACCAATCGATCAAATCCCCCAGCACCAATTGCTGTTTAGGGACATTGCGCTGCACCCCGAAAGTCCCAAAAGCGACATCGCGTCCGCATGGCCCTTGGCCGCAGCGACAGGCGCCCGTCAAAACGTGCTGTCATCGCGTGAAAGCGCCATGTACAAACAAAGTCCTCGTACTGCCGCGCCCCTTGGCCAGGTCTCTTTGCTGGGGGGGTGGGGGAAGAATAGCGGGCTGCTCTGTTACGCATCAGATTCGCCCAGAGAGCCACAGGGACTCAGGCGTGCCGTACCGTTTCCCCTCCTTGGAGGTACTACTGTAGCCCGTAAGAGGCGTTGCAGATACAGAGATGCCAACTTCAAAGGACCTGCGGCGGCGGTGTCTGACGCTGCTAGTTGTGCTCGCTGCTTAGCAGACGCCCTGGAGCAAGGGCGCTGAGGGTACTTGCTGGTACTCGCCGCGAGAACATTCATGGATGGCATCGAACCTCCAACCCTCTCCGCATCGACGGAGCCGCTGGCGCTTCGAGGCGTAATCTAGAAAAATTCCCCAGCCAGCCAAATGCTGCGTCAATCTATCGGATAAAGCGCTTTTCTCGGGACTTGCGGAATTGCCCAAGCGCCATCCAGCACGCCACAGACGCAGAAAGCAAGCTGCTTGCCCATTCCTGCAGATCCTACACCACTGCTCCATGTGCTGCTGCTCAACTGAAGCATGTTATCACGAGTTTGTCCACCCAAGTGACTGTCCGCTACTCTGCTGAAACTTCATGTGCCCAACTACGCCGTACTAGGCACCAGCATAATCATGGAATGCCTCGGTTAATGGCTGCTCAATGCCTCTCCATCTGCCCGTGGAGTATAGATACATGTACAGCACTCGACAGCAGCTTTGAGTTATTTCTCCGTGGAGCTGCTGCTCCGTGGGTTCTTCTGTGCTACTGTACCTACAGTACTTATTTGTCCAAGGCAAATCGAGGCTTTTCTTAGTGCCTGGCTATGGAGTCTTACCCACCCACGCCTAGCCCGCATGTGCTGTGTCCCGCGTCTTGCGTCCTATCAGTGACACCCTGCCCATGGATTGACGGATATAGCACGGCGGAGTGATGCCCTAGCCGTGATTGGCGGCGACCCGAGGCCAGCTGGTACATTTCAAGGTTGCCTAGCAAGTGCATCGTCCAACGAGCAGCTCTTCTGGCGATGATGAGTTATCACGATGGTCGTGGTGGTGATGATGTGTCTGTTTCTGCAGCTGCATCTGCATTGCATAGTCCACTGGCAACTACTACTACTACTAGGCCTACCTAGTACCTGCATGTTTGACATCTTGACCTCATCCTCGACGCCCTCCGTTCATCATCCGGCCCAATGACTCAGATCATGCTCTTGTACCTTGTCAACAAGCTGCTGCTGCTGCTGCTGGGGAGCTTGGACAAGCTTATTGGCATCGTGCTTGCAACAAGCGTAACAAGCAGTTCTCATCGCATCGTCTCGGCTAGCCTCATTCATCCAGCCATCTACAAGTACCTACCTATCCAGTCAGCATAAGCAAGACCGGGGGCATGGGGGGGGGGGTCATGAGGACCAGCGATTCGGGACTTGGATGGTAGCACAGATCCAGATGCAAGCAAATTGCGCAAAGTCGGCCCGTATTAGTGCCCTTCCCAGGCACAAACGAGAGAACCGCGCCAGGGGACGAGGGAGAGAAATCAATCCATGGGCACCTACCTGTAGCAAGTAACATCAAATCATGCATATACACAATATATGTGATGGTATGCAGTGATACGATATCTATATATGCTGCGGTGTAATATTACTACCAGCTTGTATCGTAGGTATTTCGTAGTACGGGGTGAAATTACCAATCCCGTACCTGCGCGGCCTCGTGCGTCTTGCTCATGTACTTGTACATGCATCAACCCGCTCGTATTCTGTAAGCTTGCCTGTAACTCTCTCATCTGGCGGTGATGGCCTCTACCTGTCGTGGCTGAGCCTCACTTCCGAAGCGGCAGGCCAAGCCCGCAGATCCTGGCTGTTTGTAGAAGCCCATGGCCGACCTTCGGCTTTCTAGATACTAGCTCGATTATTGATAGCATCTGCCTCTCCCGATTTTCGAGATCCCACTTAGATTGAATGCCCCCACTCGGGGAGAAACGTTATTCTCGGCTTGCCAAGGGACAGGAAGCCAAGTCAGGCCCATGAAACTACAAGTTGGTATGTACTCAAATCAGATACATATCATTCTTTTCTCTTTCCTTTTTACTTCTTCGTTTCTCTTGGATAGATAATTTCCCGGGTTGCATCTCAACAACAGCCCAATGGAAAGCAGCCGGTTGCAATTCTCTCCATCCATCTGCCGAGCCCAACTAGAGATAGGTTTGTCGGGATCGCCGTGTTTTCTTGTCTTTTTTGCCACCACCCACTCACACTTCCCTGTAGACGAGCACAACACGCAAAGAAGGCGAAAAAATGGAAGGGAAAAAATTTGTTCTATGCATTAGCCCATCTTCAAGCTGAATCCTTGGCGCATCTTGCAATCAAAAAGTTTTCATTAACCGAGTAGGTAGCATCGCTTTGCTAGTGACAGTTTAGCTGGCGATGCAGAAATTTCCGGCTTTTGGTGCAGAAAAGCACGAGCCGCGTTGGCACCATGTAAATCGCTCTTGTCCGGAATAACAAACAAGCAAACCACCTACGGAGCTCCAACCACTAAACGCGGAACGTGGTTCATGCTCTCCTGACCAGCTTGCATAGGCGTTATCGGATGCTACCATCTGTAGATAGCATGTGGCAAATGCTCGCCCAGTCTCGGAATTGCAGTGACTAACAACGGGGTCCTATATCGCTGTCTATTTCTCTCTTGCTGGTTGCCATCTTGGAAAAGGCCCGTATATAACAGGTGACAACAAGTCTTGCACGTCAGCTCCCCGCAGTATAAGTTCATCCAAACACTGGGACATGTTCGAATTGCCGGCGTGACATATCGGTCCACAAGCCGCCCACAAAAAGAGGACTGCTCCTCTCAGTTCTATTTATATGCATTGCCGTGGCCGGATGCTGATCGATTTACCTTTACGACTTCTAGGTGGGGCACGTTGTCTAGACGTAGTTGCATGATTCAAAGGATAGGTTTGCGTACACGTGTTTCCTTCAACTGTGAGGCTCGTTTAGTTGTTCAACTGCCGTTCGAGAGAAGCAATGACCAGAATCACAAGAATAACATCAGAATGGATAAACAGTGATTCTCCTCTAGCTAGAAAGTCTGCCTAAACATTGAGATAGAAAAAAATTGCAGTATAATTTATCGATATCGCAGTATGGAGGGATATCAATCAGAATTCAGAGAGGCTCACTTGAGTCAGAAATTCAGAAATTCATCAACATCAAACGTGGTTGATCCATATCCACCAAATCCGTATCAGCTCCATAGAAAGGACTCACATACCCCTGCATTTGCCGTTAACTGTCAAGCAATCAAAACACCCTAGATGAAATCCAGAGAGCTCTCCTCAAGGTGCCGTTAGTCATCAACAACCCCAAGTAAACAACGCAACGGTGAGAAAGGATAGGAGAAAGGGAAAACATTGCCCCAAAGCCAGAAAGCATCGTGTCATAGGCTCAGCAGCTTAAACGATATGCCCATCTCCTCCAGCACTTGTTCCATGTGCTCCATCACCATTCGCAGCCCGGCCTTTCCACCATGACAGACACCGCTCTCAATGTGTGCTACGAGCCCGCTAACCGTCGAGAAATTCTTCATTTCTCGGTGGGCTTTTCCAGGTTTCCCCGAGAACAGGATTGAAGGGCAGTGGAACATTTTGGGCGTATGAGCCGCGGAACTCATGTGCATATCCAAACTCAGGCGCGTCAGGAATGGGCGTTTGGTATCGGGACATAAAGGACAGAAGAAAAACTTTTGCTTGGAAAGCTCTGTGCTGTCGCTTGTTATAGACTCGGTTTCTATCCCGGATGATGAACGTCTTGCCAGTTGTCCTTCTACGAGGCTGCCAAAATCAACGTGGCTGCTGCTCGGCGTCAAAAGCACTCCTTCATCTGAATCTGTACTTGGCGTCATGACTCCCGAGCAAGTCACCGATCCATCGTCGTTTTCCAGGCTAGTCCAACCCGAATATTCAAAGATTCCGCTGGAACTAGTAATGAGATGATCGTTGTCTTGCACAAGTACCAATCTGTTGAGCTTCTGCCGGTTCATGCCTGACTGACAAGAGCCATTTTCCATGTGAGCAATCATGGCCGAAGGGCTGCTGAAATGAGCATTGCATTCCACGCCGCAAATCTTGCCAGCCATGCAAGTCAAGTTGCTAATAGGGCGATGGATGGTAGACTGCAGATGCTGTTTTAACGAAGCAGCAGTACCGAACGAGCGATCGCATTCTTCACAGTAGTGGTGAGCCTTCTTCAACTGCGGCTCCTTATGGATTTTATCCCGGAGGTGCTGATTCAAGGCAATGAAATTCTTGAAACTCTTATTGCAGTCACAGCAGCCAAACTCCACGGCGTGTCTGACCGAAGTAGAATGTTGGCGCAGTGCAGCCTCAGTATCAAACTTTGCGTCGCAATCGTTACAGCACCAAACCGCATCTTTCATCCGCTTTTGACCGCAAGCCGGAAAGGAAGAGGCTCTATGTTCCTCGAGCTTGCGTTTTGTGCGAAGGCATAAGTTGCATTCGCTGCAGATGGACCGCCTTACAGCACTTCTGTGCTCTCGTAGATCCTGCTCTTTCTTGAAGCGGCGCCCGCATGTGCAAGCCAGAGGCTGCATTATTGATTTGTGTTTTTATTTGCTTGTTCGTCGCCTTGCTGTTTGTATTCCAGGCAGATGGGGAAGCCGTCCGATGGCGATGGCGATGGCTATCTGGCTCGAAGAGAAATGTTCGTCTCAAAGTAGTGACAAAGTAGTGATGTATGCAGGAAAAAACATTCATGTGGAAAGTTGGGTGCCCAGGCAGAAATCCATCACATTGGAGCCGCCATGAGGGGAAGCACAGCGTTTTTAGGTTCAGCACCAGCTGGAGGCCTACAGCCTCGTGATGTTTGTATTCAGCCAACAAACACTAAACCCTGCAGCTCCTCATCGCTCTCCACGAATCGCAGACGGAAGCGAATGTGGCGTGGCCAATAGGGACATTTTCCTCCATGGCCAAGTGTTTCATACATGATTTTCAGGCATACTTGCAGGAGATCGCAGGGATGGCTTCCAAGACGGCATGATGCTTGAGCAATTGACGTCGAGGCTGGGTCTGCGCCTAGGCCGCTTGCGTGAGGATTGCAACCCTGTGGCTGAAAGTAAGTTTGTCTGGCGAATGGCGCCCTCTCGATTCGGTCCTTGCGAGTGAAGCTGTAATTCATTGGGGGCTGCTTTGGGGGGTACGTCTCAACCGGCTCCAGGCACCAATGCTTACCAACAGCAAAACTGGGCGCCTGCTGAAACACGATAGTCAACAGCAGACCGGAAAAGAAGACAACGACGAGCATGTAGACCGAGAAGCGAATGGGCGAGAACTGATGAAGAAGTGAATATTGAAAGACGAAAAAGAAGCCTTAGATTGGAAAAGAGAAAATGTCCATGTCTATAATATATATGTCTTTCAAAACTTGATCGTACACTTTCGTATCTCCCTAGTATTTTTTTTATACACATTCTCAGTCAGCTCGTCTTTTTGATATATGCTGAGATCACCGTAACCGTCACCAAAACACCTCTTTTATCCAATTCTTCATACAAGCTTTTTTGGTCATTTTCCTTGCCTTTTTTTTTTTGTTGGTATCATTATCTCGTTAAGCCACCACGTTTATTCCTATTGATTTGCACTGGAAAATAATAGAGCGGCATAGTCCCTCCAGCGATAGTCCAGAGAGTCGAAGTTCTGACTGCTTAATCTTGGCGATTTCGTAGACGTGCTTTAAGCTGATGGTGCCCACCGTCTCGTGGCCAGGCTTGTTGACGCCTTTTCTGTTTCCCTTCTTGCCCACTGGCGCTCCGACCGCATTGAGCAGCAGCCAGGATGTTTGCGGTGTTCTGAGATCAAAGGTAAACGACCGATCTGGCCGAACGGTGACTCGGCACGGCATTGGCGTTCCCGGGACGATATTGGCAGTTCTGGCATTGAATTCCTAGACGACAGTCAGTCTTGTATATTTCTTTTTAATCCCTATATACATATATACACGTCATACACGTCATATATGCACAGAGGATGTACAGACCTTGCAAAAGTCCATAGACTTGACACCCTTGCTACCCAGAGCAGGACCAACTGGAGGGCTGGGACTGGCCTGGCCGGCGCCCACAATCAGCTTGACAATTGTGTCGACTCCGCCCGCGGCGCCTTTTGCTGCTTTTGACATGATTGCGGCTGCTTTGCGGAGGATCAGGGCGATGCGTAATATCGATCTCGCGATCTTGACGGAGATTTTTTGGCTTCGAAATCTTGAAGCAACTTGCAGCTACAGCCATTGGAGCATTTAGCGCTAGAGACCAGGCGGGGTTAGTGGCTCATGATTTAGTGCCGTAGACGTTGTAGCGCGCCCCATCTATTCTTATCTTATCGATAATCCCCCATGGCAGATTTCACTGCGAGCACCCAAAATTTTTGGAAGCAGATCCTATCGAGAGAATCTCAACTACTATACTATTCTCAAAAAAAAAACGATCATACAGCAAAAAAGGGAAGAAGAGAAGACGAATACTAAATCGCATCATATATCAGATCTAAATTACGCGAATCTATACAGAACCGTCTCGACAACATCTACAAGTCCCCCGATTTCATCTTGACGGACAACCACAATGCCGTCGACACATAAGAAAGAGAAGCCCTGGGATACCGACGATATCGACAAGTGGAAGGTCGAGGCCTTCACCGCAAAGGACAATGCCGGCGGCACATTCACCGAAGAATCGTCCTTTGTCACGCTGTTCCCCAAATATCGCGAAGTCTATCTGAAGGAGGCCTGGCCGCTCATCACCAAGGCGCTGGAGAAGCACGGCATTGCCTGCACGCTGGATCTCGTCGAGGGTTCCATGACGGTCAAGACGACGCGAAAAACCTTTGATCCCGCCGCCATCCTGAACGCGCGCGATCTCATCAAGCTGCTGGCTCGAAGCGTCCCGGCGCCCCAGGCCGTCAAGATCCTGGACGACGGCGTCGCGTGCGACATCATCAAGATCCGAAACCTGGTGCGGAATAAGGAGCGCTTCGTCAAGCGGCGCCAGCGGATACTGGGCCCCAACGGCTCTACGCTCAAGGCGCTCGAGCTGCTGACAGAGACGTACATTCTCGTCCACGGCAACACAGTATCGGCCATGGGACCGTACAAGGGCCTCAAGGAGCTGCGCAGAGTCGTGGAGGACTGCATGAACAACATCCACCCCATCTACCACATCAAAGAGCTCATGATCAAGCGCGAGCTGGCCAAGGATCCCGAGCTGGCCAACGAGAGCTGGGACCGCTTCCTGCCAAACTTCAAGAAGAAGACGCTGAGCAAGAGACGGGTGCCCCTCAAGGTCACGGACAAGGCCAAGAAGGTCTACACGCCCTTCCCGCCGGCGCCGGAGAAGAGCAAGGTCGACAAGCAGATTGAGAGCGGCGAGTACTTCCTCAACAAGGAGGCAAAGGATAGGGCGGTGCTCACCGACCGCAGAGAGAAGCAGAAGGAGGCCAAGGAAGAGCGGGCAAAGCAGCGGGCAGCCGAGTATGTACCACCGGAAGAAGATAGGCCTAAAAAGAAGCGGAAGAAGACTTCTGAGTAGGGTGGCTATTGGATTACGCCGGGTGGTGTTGTTGACGGTTAGGAGCGCTTGCTTTTTCTATTCATCTATTCCATGTATTTGCAAAAATGTATAAGTAATATCCAGGAGACATTTGGAATGGATCTATTAACTTGATTTTACACCAGTTGAGCCAATGTTAAGCTGGTTTCAACTCATAAATGCACGTTGTATTATTCACTAAATAAGTTGCTTTGGCCGGCGAGATCCTTCCAAAACACAAAGTTCTCAATCTTCGCTTGCTCTCTTCCCTTTGCTCTGTTATTGATCCTTTACCAGAGTCTTGTCCTTCTTTTCATGTCCGTTTCCCTTTACCCAATATTTTTAGAGCCGATCCTTACAGCCTTGGAGAGGATGCTTCGGAGTCAACCTCAATCACCAGCTTGCCAAACTGCCTTCCATGCTCCATCTCCTCGAATAGTTTGTCGATGGCCTCGAGGTCTCCCAAGCCCTTGATCGTCTTGCTAATAACTGGCCTAATCTTCTTTTCTCTGACAAACGCCACCATGTCCTTAAACTCCTTCTTCGACCCCATTGTAACGCCCTTGAGCTCGACGTGGGCCAGCACGGCTTGCATCAGCCAGTCCATCTTGGGAGACACCGTCATGCCATACTGGGAGATGACCGCGCCGGGCTTCAAGATGCGGATGGTCTTTTTGATAATTGGCCCACCAGCACCGTCGATGATGGCATCAAGATAGGGTCGGTCTTTGGGCAGCAGAGCAGCCAGATCCTTCTCCCACGTCTCAGACTTGTAGTTGACGCCTCCCTTTGCGCCCAAAGCCTTGGCCCGCTCAAGCTTCTCCGGGTCGCCGGATGTGACGAAGACGTTGCATCCAAAGCCGACGGCAAACTGCAGAACCGACAACGCAACTCCACCGCCAATGCCCGTGACGAGGATGTTGCTCCCGGGGAAAGCAGCGTTGCTCTTGGTTACCAGGGCTCTCCATCCTGTGAGTCCCACCAGAGGCAGCGCGGCGCCTTCGCCGGGCGTGAGGTGCTCTGGCGCGAGAACCACTTCATCTTCAGGCACAACGGCGTAGTCCTGCCCAGTTGCAGCCTCGGTGAGCCTGCTGCTGCCAATGACGGCAAACCCTCTGGCATCTTCAGGCCCGGCGGGGTCAGCCTCCCACCCACGCATAGGCGTTAGCAGGACGGCCTTGTGAAGGAGATCTTTGCGGGTGACATCCGGCCCAGTTTCGACCACGGTTCCATAACCATCGGCAAACATGGGGTTGGTGAATGAAATGGCGGGATACTGGTGGCGACGGATGAAGAGATCTCGGTGGTTGAGGGCTATGGCGGAGATGCGGACGAGGACCTCGCCGGGGCCCGGTGTGGGCTTGGGGACTTCCTTGATTTGGATGCTGTGACGGATGATCATGTCAGCCTTGGGATTCTTTCTACAGTTTCTTTTGAAATTCGCAGCCGAGGCAATGGGTCAGTGGCAGAGCTGATGAGACTTACGGATAGTAGACTTCTCCAGGCTTGCCCTCAACTTGCTTCAAAGTGATAACACGCGGCATCGTGGAGGTGATTTAGTTTAGAACGAGAATAGATGATATCAATTGATGCAAGAGAAAATGGGAAAATGGGAAAATATTGATCGAGACTCAATCAACTTCTCTTTGCAGACTTATATACCTTTTTACATATAGCTACACAAGGCCAGTAAGATGCTACTCTCTCACCGCAGCCACGCGGTCCGCATTTCCAGCTGGGTGGCTCACTCTTAAAGTGCTGCGAATTGCCTATTATGACATCAACCCCGCCACGATTCGCTGCAATGACCTCGGTTACGCTGCGACTAGCGGTCCGCAGACGGCATTTGTCATTTTCCCCCCGTCAAGTAGAGCATTGTGTTTGTTATCGCTATTTTACTTTTGGGATTTAGGATTTGATTTAAATTGGGTCATGCGGGAAGTTCCATTTCCATATATTGGCTGGTTTGATGTGGTGTCACCAATACTTTGCCTGATGCGGTCAGTGCGCGGGTTGTCCAGGTACACCATACAGGCCTTGGTATTGAGTGAGAAGTGGTACAGATGCTACGAAGAGTGCACCGGACTCTGTTTTTGTTGATGGGTGGAAGACTCGGGACCTTGTTCCAATTAAAGCAGTTTGTCTACCTAATAGATCTAATATGATAGGTAGGTGAGAGGCGTAGCAGCACGATTTACAAAATAGCTGGTGCCATTCTATCTCAATGTTGCACACGGAGTAAACGTCTGCACAATCCGCAATAGATTCAACAATGGCATGCTCTCTTCACAAAGAAATCACTTCAATTTGAAATCAATTTGCAAACTTTCTCTCCTTTATTCATCAAGTCTGTTTAACAACGATACGATTACGACGGAAAAGACGTTATCGATTACGCAGCTCACTTGGTCAGTAACTCGTGCTGCAGGCATGCATCTTTCTTCATTCGCAATCGTCACCAGCAATTGCTTTTCTTCAGTTTCTCAAAGTCCTGTCTATTTCAATTTCAAGCTTTTCGCCTTGCTACGCTTCAGTCTAAGCGTCATTGCGTCGCCAGCGCTAATCAAATCAAAGCAGCAGTATACCGTCACAGGCCTCTTTTGACGTCGCAAGCCGAATGCCAGCTCCTAGTAGCTCAAGATCGACCCATCGCCGCATCCGTTGCGGAGGCCCAGCACGGCGATCTAATGGAGCAGCGTCCGCCGTTGAGTCCGCAGTTTCCACGTCGGTTCGGACGGCCGGCTGAGAGTCCGTCATCGGAGGTCGCCGAAAGGATTCCCGGCATGTGTATGCCATGCGCTTTGGTCTGGCTGGGATCAAGAATCTCATGGTTGATTGCACAGAAAATGTTCCTCCTTCGCCGCCTCTGATTTGCCTTGGAGTTCCCAATGAAGCCTTTCTCAAGATACGGGAAATGCGATTTGACCAATAAGCGGCCAGGCGATTTCGAGTCCTAGCCGTGCTCTCCAAGACGACGCCGTCTACATGGGATAGAGTAGCATCCAAAGTTGAAAGAAGAAACAGTGTGTGGGTACGTATTGCTTCATTCTTCGTCTGCAAGTACTGATTTCTAAAGAAAAAGGGATGTCTGACAATTGATGCCTTTCGTCCATTAGTAAACCGTCATTTGACAACGTCGCCGATCAACTGTATAGTAGACGAGTTCGCTCGCCTTGCGCAGAGACACTGCTGCATGTTTCAACTCCTTCACCTAGTCTGGAGACCGAGTGGGTGGGTATCTTCAGCACGACCAGCAGCTCACCGAAGCTCGCTGGCAAGTGCTGCCTCTATTAGGCACAGCTCCGGCTTGTATACCGTTATGTTCGGCGACTAGACTAATTTTATCCTTGGGGGGGTTTTGGCGATAATGGCACAGACCGCAAATAATGGCTTCCCCTTGCTGTATCAAGGTGTAAGCTGATCCCCGATATGCCCTGTCCCGGCAGTCGTCCTTGCGTTCATATCCTCTGCTGGTACTGATTTGTCAAGGCCATGAACAGTGCAAAAATCTCCTCGCTTTCAGCCCGATTTCAGGCTGTACTGTGATTTGTGTCAAGGTTGGCGTAATGCCTCGCTCCAAGCTTCTCATACTACTATAGGAATTCTTCTTCCCGACTGGGTAGCACAATCACCAGGGCGCTCGATCGGGAATATCCCACGGAAGTGTCAGAACGTTAAAAGCATAAATCCCGCCCATGCCGCCACGCACGCCATGGTCCCCGAGAATTGCGCCTCTAGCCATCCGGTCCGTCGATGTCGGGGTCTCGGCGATCGTGGCCACTGGCAGGGGTCCACTAAAACAAAACTCGTCGGCGACTCTTTCATATGAGCCCATTTCCTTCTCGATTAGGGTCGTTATGCTTGGGACGAGGTATGGTGAAATTGTAGCAAGGGATCGGAGGCCTATAATGAGACGCTGGCAAAGTTGAAGCCCGAGTGCAGATTCATACAATATCCCAGAGTCTTCACAGTAGTGCCCGATGACCCGAACAAGGGGCTATTATATGATCATTGCATCGGTGTCCACGACTAATGGTACCAGCTGCTCTACGCTTCTACGCCGAATCTCCCTGCATGTATCAATATCGTTATTAATACTTCTACTGTATTTCAAGTAGACGTCTCTGGTTCCTCAGAGAGCTAGCATTCTGCGTCTTACTCTACGCGCCTACCTCCTTAAGAGTTTGCCTTATTCCTTCGTCTTCTTGGGCTACACTCTCCAGCATCGTTCTACTATGGCGGCAACATTCTTAACTGGTGCAGCGTTTGGAGCTGCTACCATGGGCGCTTCCTTTCATAACCCTGCTATAGTTGTTGCCCAGATGAAGTTTGAAAACTTTCATATGGTACAGGCATTTCTGACCGCAACTGCAAGCAGCGCGTAAGTACAACGACGAAACCCCCTTTTCTGACATTCCCAGCGTGATGCGCCATACTCATGAGTACGAGACTGACTTTTGATGATCAAAGAGTCATATATACGGTTGCACAACATTTCGACTATGTCAAGTTAAAGCCCAGAAGCTCCTCACCGATAGGTCTCTTCTCTATATACGACGGCAATGTCATCGGCGGTGTTCTCCTCGGTGCCGGAATGGCCTTGTCAGGATCGTGCCCAGGAACACTATATCCCCAGCTGGCTGCTGGCGTTCATACAGGCTTTCACGCGCTCAACGGAGCCATAATCGGCGGGATTTTGTGGACTGGACTCCTTGCCAAGATGTTCAAGGGGTATAAAGAAAGAGCAAACGCCACTCCCATAACGACGACTGCAAATGACCAACTTGGTCTGAGCAGAGGTGCCACATTGCTTCTCTTCGAGGCAGCATGCATCTCAATCCTCGCAGCAACCACAATCTACACTCCCCCATTTCCCGGAGCAAAGATTCTCGGAACGACAGGCGGGCTCATCATTGGTCTCTCCCAGCTCTTCTCCATCATCACACGAAAGTCTATGATTGGCATTTCTACCGTATACGAAGAGATTGGCAACCACTTTTGGTGGCTAATCAAGGGCGCAGAACCAAATACGAAACCGACTTCATGTAACAGCATGGTGTTCGCCGCCGGCGTCACTGCTGGAGCTTGGGGGTTGCTCCAGGCTATCCCTTCGCTGGCGAGTGCTCCTGTGTTTGAGGCACCGCCATTGTTGGCAATGACAGGAGGTGCTCTCATGGTTATTGGAGCGCGAATGGCGGGTGGCTGTACGTCTGGGCACGGCATTAGCGGCATTTCACTGCTGTCTTTGTCCAGCATGATCACTATTGGCTGCGCGTTTGCTGCAGGAGCAGTTGTTGCACCTTTGGTTTATTAAAGCATGGCTATCTAGTACATCCCGAGCCAGTTGTCTTACAATAGGAAGAGAATGGGCGGACAGCTACGAGAAAGATCAAGTCATTAACTCGCCACTCCAGCTCCCTTCTTAGCCGTCACCTCTATTTCAATCTTCATCTCGTCCAGCATCAGCTCAGCTTGTACCATTGTCGCCGCAGGCCGCACGTTGCCAAACCATTTTCTCAGCACTGGCTTGATGGAAGAAAAGTCGTTGCGATTTGGAAGAATATACCGCACACGGACAACTTCGGCCACGGAAGAACCAGCTTCCCTCAACGCTTTGTCGATGTTGGCCATAGTCTGCTCGGTTTGGTCGTAGACATCTGCAGAGATTTTGCCGGTATCATAGTTGTATCTGCCAGTTGATGCAATTTTGTTATTTCATAGTCAGGGGAAGATTGATCGTCATGTCTCGTCTCACCCAGTGGTCCCCGACACAAAGATCCAGTCATCAACGATAACGGCTCGGGAGTAGCCGATTTCCTCTTCGAACTTGGAACCGGAGCTGACGTTTTGGCGAGGCATTGTACGTGATTTATTAGACACTGAATGATTTCCGAAAAGACGTCAGTTATTATAGATTAGAAATGCAGCGGATTGTTTATTTATGGCTACACATATTCTTAGTGTGACTCATGCGCCCTTGGCTCGATTTGCTTTATTCTTCATACAAGCCACGTGAAGCCGTTCGTTTTCTCGGACCCGGCGCTATTTGTATCTCCCGTATGTAACAGCTTGTGCCGATGATAATCGCAAAACGGCAAATTTACTCTTAGTGCGGCTTTTAGAAATACTTTTCTATTGTTTCACGTATGTCTGACTGAAAAGAAGAGTGTCGATGGCATCGTAATTTACAAGTCGTTCAAGAACCCTTCCTCTAATCCCAATCATGCTGCTTTTTGTTGTCGTTATTGTACAGAGAGATACACGCAGAGAATGTTGTGCTCTGCTAAGAAGCGGTAGATAGCTTGATATGTCCATGCCGTCTCCGCAAGGCAAAGAAGCCGACGTGCGAATTTACTGGCTCGTCAACTCCTTGACCAGTGCTGCAACGGACTTCTTGTCCACGTCTTTGCCTTCCAGAGCAGCATTGACTCGCTTCATCACGTCTCCCATGAGAGACTTGCCCGCTGCGCCCGCGCCCTTGGCTGCCTCCACGGCCTCGTTGATCAGCGCCTTGATCTCGGCCTCGCCCAGACTCTGCACGCCGCTTCCCGCAACGTACTCATCCAGAATGGAGATCTGCTGGTTCTCCTTGTCCACCAGGTCGTCTCGGCCGGCCGCCTTGGCATCCGCAACGGCATCCTGTGCGCTCTTCTGCAGCTTGCGGATCAGGGCGACGAGCTGGACGTCGGTGCGGATCGGCGAGCTGGTCTTGGAGGCATTCAGGTTTGCGGACATGATGGATCGCAGCACGGACAGCCGCGGGGCGTCTTTGGCCCGCATGGCGGCCTTGAGCTCGCCCTTGAGCTTCTGGAGCAGTGGCGGAGGCGCATCAGCATCTGCAGAGTAGAATCGAGAGGCCGAGGCTGAGGCTGAGGCTGGCCTGGACAGGCATTGCGCTGGTGAGAGGCGCAGCGGAGCTTGTCGCGAGCATCGCAGAGCTGCCAGAAGAGGCATTGATGATTTTAAGGCTGCCATTGGAGTGAAGACTAGAGAACTGATCGCGAGAGATGCGAGATTTGGCCGGAAACTTTGCAAAATTGTTTGTAGGTAGATGATGAAGCGGCAACTATCATACCATGGAGGGGAAGCTTTTGATTTTAAGCTGCATCAATTGAAGCTCCGATTGGCCCGTGCGCCGCTTCTGGCTTCTCGTAGCTTATTGAGAACAATCCAAATAGCATTTGATAGACCATACTGATAGAGCATATGGTTTCATGTAACATAGATAGCCGATGTCTTCATATTATTTTGAGCTTTTGCTCAGGTAAAATATTGGTTACTCAATTAGACGTTGATTGCCAAGCTATTGGTCTGCCATGGATAGATGTTGGTTTCAAACCTCCGTTTTGCCATTCTACAAAACGCCAAAACTTAAATTTCTATTCTAACTTTCATTTTATAATCAAGTTTCTACTTGAAAAATCAAATCACAGGATTCGATTTTCTAGTAAATACCTATAGACAACAAAATCAGGAGCTTCAGGTAGTCTACTTCAAAAGCGGAAAATTGGCTGAGCTACAGGGTATCTCACGGCGTATTGAATCCGGAGCCATTTATAGGTTTACACACGCAGCAATACTAATACAGTCACTGAGCAGGCGGGTTGATAGACGCAAATAATAGATTGCCGTCAGATAATAAATAATGACTAAATACATCTGATCAAGTTTCAAGTTGTAAACTGCAGCATCTATTGTGGACTATTCGCCTAGTACTAGGTGCCGGCTACATGTATGAAACGATCCTACTAGCTGCTGAACATAATGAATATACCTATATATAGATCTCTGTACGGGCTGTGGCGTAAGTTTCCTCGACCATCTGCTAAATTTTGAATATTCAGTTAGTAGTTGAATAAGTTCAAGGCCGCCACTCTCCAAAAGGTGAGGATATCGGTCAAGTTGTGAGACAGCCTCTTGTGCCCATGTGTCAATCCACAGATTTGTCATATCTATTCACTTTAAGACATTAAATTAAGAGTCCATTTTCCGGCTTTGGTTGTGTCCGATCTCCGCGTGCATCAGTGTTAGCGAGCATCAGATTTCTTAGTCCGGAATCTCACTGGCTTTAGCCGATTGCCGCTCGTTTTGTTTCCAATGTAACGCCATGCTACTCCAGTAAGAGGTGTTCAGGCACGGAGTCCAGCATCTCCACGGCGGACATACTGGTTCAATTGGCGTCCAGCCGAAGCACGGTCTCGATTTGAGGCGTGCCCCGTGGCCCCAGGCAGAGGCTGGTTGCCATTGGACCAAAGCCTCCTGTAACCCCGACAGCTTCGGTTGTATACATGACGTTACAGGGCAGCGTGTTGTCTGCATAAAGTCCTCGTCAGGATGTTGGTCCTGCACTCTGCGTGGCATGGTAGGTGGTTATACCGGTAGTAGTAAGACGGAGTAGTAGTACCACCTGCAGTATTTCCCCCCATCAAATCCATCGGACCCTGTGAACGCTCGCCCTGCCGCCATCAGCTCCATAACGGTTGGCAGTCTCTGATCTTGGTGCACCTTATTTTCAACGGCTGCCGTAATACCTATCTGCGACCTGCCCAAGAGAGATGGCCTCTTCTTTTTCGATGGCCACTGGAGGAGAAATATGTAAGTCGAGCTATTTTCTTTTGTATGCTGCTACTACCCCCTTGCAGTCTAGTCCCTGTTAGCTCGTACTTGCAAGAATGTCGCATTCAAGTGGTGATACAGTAGTGCTAGTCGTTGCTTGATTGCATTGGCCTGCATGCAGCTTGTTAGGCACGAATGCGTGTTCGTACAAGTAGAGTAGGAGATGTGAGCACCAGGATCAGACATACCAGACGGAGTAAGGCTTTATTTGGGTCTAACGGCCCATCCCCCCCCAAAGGAGAAATGCTGCGCACACGAGTGGATTCGAAGATGCAGAGGCAGACATACTCGCCCTAGTGTATTGAGCTTGAGCCGTCGCCTGTAGCTCCTAATCTTTTGCTTGGCTGGTTCGCCAGGCCTGCTCGCTGGGGGCGGCTTCGCTTCCTACTCGCTCCCAGGCGCTCATGGCAAGGCAATTCCGCGGCACTGGTAGCGAGATTAAGCTGAAAAGGGCCTGGTAAAGTAGGGGTTGATAGGAGGAGCTGGATGTGGTGGTGACCGGACTCTGCTGCCCGCCATCCGCGGAGGAATGATGCTGTAGTGCCGTGTGAGCTGCATCGCATCTTCGCATTTCCCCCCCCTGAATCGACAATAGGGTAGAGACCGCGTCGTTTGATTTCATGCATATATATTTTTCAGCAACGATACGGAAAGTGAGCTTGAGGCACAAAAGAGACGGAGCTGAGACCGCGTCGGTTGGACGAATAACCTAGTTGTATTCCGTCGTCTTTGATCAGGCATTTGAGGAGACATGACAACGAAGTTGAAAGATTCCTATGCAACACAGGACCCATTATTAGTAGTAGTAGCAGATGGGGACAAGCGGCAACACTGCAGGCTTAGAAGAACAGAATACAAGTAAGCCCCTGTTGGCACCTTGAAGCTGCATATAACTGCCAACACTGGATCGTAAGATACAACCCTCACATCCGTATGCATCTAGCGCTACCGGCACGATTCTGATAGGCCATCCAGCATGGTTCCCGTATTCAATGCCGTGTTGCTGCTCCTTTATCTCTCCTGTTCCGTTGCCTGCCCTGTCCACCCATCAATCAACTCGTGCAATCCATCTCAAAGGCAGAGGATGAAAATGGATCCCTCCATCTCCATGACTGCAACCCGAGCGTAGTCGCATGTGATCTATGCACATAGGTCAGAATAGCCCTTAATATCAGGTACCTGCTCAGAAGTAGTCAACGCCTGCCGGTGTGCGGAGCAAGACCTGACGCGTGTCGTTGAGGCAGGTACCAGATGCTAAGGCGCCACCTGCCTTCCCCAGATCTACCCCCGGAACCTTCTTTCAACCACCATCCATCTCTTTCTCTCTCGACTTGTCTTCCTTTCCCACCTTCCAACCGCCAGGCATTTCATTTTTCTCCCAAAAACTACCGTCAACCACCACGCCATTCTCATCAAACCAAGATCAGATTTCATCTGTCCTAGCTTCGTCGATTAGCATCTGAAGCTGCTCACCAAGACCGAAGAATCTCTCGGCAAAGACGCATGTCTCATGCCCTTTCAATCGCAGGGGCCCCTGTCCATGGGACGCTTGCCCCTCTCGAGATATCTGCCCTGGGCCAAACAACTGTCTTCACACCATGCTGAGCTCTCAAACATGTTCTTCGTCGGCCAATCGCACGGTGTGATTGCAGCTCTGGTTGCTCGATCATCGGGGCGGTTTTCGTCCGATAAAAACATATCTGCATCATCCTTGGTAAGCCCTAAGCGCCTTGCATCTCGTCTTCCGAGGTCGTTTGAATTTGACTTACAATGGGAAATAGGCCTGCGCGCAGTATATCAAGTTCTTGGTCAGCCATATCATCTCTCCGCTGGAGTACCTGGCGCTGAGCATTCACGCACCCTATACGAAGGATTCGTGGCCTCATTTCTCGCCTGAGCCACCATGAGCTGGAAATCTTCCAAGGGCATGCTATGTTTCCCGAGCTTATGTCAACACTACTTCTTCCATCTATTCGTCACGAATGAGTCTTTTCAAGGGAGACATAGCAACTCAGCTTACTCTCGCATCTTCGTGAACGGATAAAGCCCCATCGAATAGAGCAGCTGGCTTACGATGCCTGCATTCAAAGTACCAATGTCATGGTCGCGGGGATCTAGAGCGCATCTCGTCAGCTCTGGGCTATTCCTTTTGTCTCAAAGACCATCATGCGTGGCATACCGCTTGGCCAAGGGCACATGGGTAATGTCAGGAGGCGTGATTCGATGTCGACGAAGCCTGCATTCGTCATCCAATCTTTGAGGCGTAGAGCTGCTCGTGGGTCCTTTTGAGGATGCATGGCGTCGAGGTATCCGCTTGACCATCTCGAAAGCGCGTGATCTAGCTCGTTCAGCAAACACAACAGCCTTTCTCATACTACGTCAAACAACGTTGGAACTTACCTGGAGATAGGGTTCCATTATCCGATTGAGCATTGAAATACATCTCGACCATTTGACACCAGCCGCCAGGTTGAAGCACGCGGTATATGTCTTTCAGATAGCTTTGCCAGCGGTTTGCGCGGACCCCACCTGCCATCAACTGGCTGTGTACGACATCGAAGTGATTGGATGGAAATGTGAAGCTATGATTAATTTCACGCGCTTAGCCAAGTGCTCTTGCATCATCATCTGATGAGATAAGAGAATCCAAGGCACTCACTCTCCGTTTAGATCGTCGACTTGGAGGTCTAGATTCTCCGGCAACTCTTCCGGGATCATGTGCGGACTGATGTCCAATCCGATGACCTAGAATTTCATTAGCATGGCTATCACGCCTGTGTATACTTTCTTCATCTGTCCCAAAGTCAATCAGTTGGTGAAGTTGCCTCAGGATCTAGTCAGCATGTGTTCCATTCCATGAGGCTGTCGACCATTGCCAGAAGCCGTGCATAGCCTTGGGACGTTCCCACTGTCAACAACGTAGCTGTCTTTATGGGCAAGCGACACAATCTACCAAGAGAGCACATGTTTGATTTCAAGACTCATTTTGGAGCGGATATTGCAAGGCAAGTTCAACCCTCAACTGAACAGCGAAAAGGGTTTGAAATAGCAAGGCCCGGATACGTACCTCCGCGTTTGGATACTGCTCAGCGACATCGACAGACCAGTCTCCTGCACCGAATCCGCATTCGAGAATCATCTTCAGTCGGTTTACAGGAGGAAATATCAGTCTATTATCGAAGACTGTACGGAGCATCGAGTGCATCTCTCCTAACTGCGCTATTTCTTCCTATTCACGATGTTAGGAGGACACGAAACTCGCGATATACTTGCGGCTTCAAAAACAAGCAACAAACTTCATCGATCGGAGCAAAATATATCTTGTTTGCCAAGGCATGCTGCTGAAAAGTACGTCCGTGGTAGCTGACGGTTTCTATATATGTTTCGTCAAGGGGAACGGTTCCATCCCTATCACAGTATTAGCGGCCCTGCTAAGCCATTTGAGTTCGATTGCATCCTGGGAGTAGTCTCGTACTCTGCGGCCATTATGGGGTTTTCCCTTCTCCTTCCTTTTCCTCAGAAGAAAAAAGTTGCCTCCTTTGAGATGGACGGGGAAATGTTTCTCTGCGAAGATACGATAGTGCGAGCTGTTGTTGACGAGGGATTGGCTAGTCCTCGGGAGACTTTTGTACGGTGATATATGCCGAATCAACAGATATGATCACTAAGTTCCGGCCTCTGATGAGACGCTGTTCGGGCTCGAAGAGTCATGTGGTACCGAAAAGCGTGGCCCCAGTCTGGGCGTTCAGGCCACCCCTCTTGCACCAGAAAGGTTCCTCTTACAGTGTCGTAACCGGCCTAAAAGAGACACTGCCTACAAATATTGCTATCGTGGCCAAACAGACCATTGGATAAAGAATAAGGCGTGTCTTTCTCCCTTCGTTAGGAACAGTGGAGCAGATTTACAGACATCAGCTTGCGTTGACCAACCGAAGCCCATTTCGTCTCTCATAACGGATATGCCGATCTTTCCTGCATGGACATCACACGAGAGCGCTCAGCGGCTGTTTGTGCCACCTCAATCCTGGGAACCCAGACCTACCAGGGGTACCTATAACGCAGAAGCGTCAAGGTTAAGCTGGCATGCTGCAGTGACGTACGGAGAAAGCTGTCTGGGAAGTCTAGAACTCTAAAGATGCACATGTCACATATCGAGCAAGGCCTGAATTGGAGTTGCGACATTCCCACTGGATCTTGCCTGTTGGTGCCAGCGCAACGAAGCAGCCATCATCGCTGCGTAAGCTTGATGCAAGCTCGAACCGTTGTCAACAAGCATGCTGGAGAGTCTAGATGCTCGTGGCTAGGCCGGGCAGAAACATAAGCCTAGCGTGCTCAGAATAGACGAGGCTTGAACGGCCGTCGTCATTCTGTACCCAGAGAATAAACAAAACTGTACCTGGTACCTGAAACCCTAACCTCTTACCGCTTATGCTGAACATATGGAGGACGTGCACACCTTGCCTTATTGGCGGAGCTAGAGCCATCGGCCAAGTGATGCTGGCGCCGTCACGATATTAATGTCAGTGGCAGTGTTCTGGGTACCTCCGATGCCTGTTGGGATCTATTAGAGCCCTTGTCCCCCCCCTCTCCAGGCCGTCAATACTAGTAATCACTCGAAAGATTGCTAGAAGGAAAGCAGCTGTCCTCGTTTCGTGGACAATTCACTTTCTCGATCGCTGGGCTGCAAGCTGGCAGCTATGGATCGTGGATCAAGGATCAAGGGCCATCATCGACGCTATCCCGAATACTGTCTGGTATGCTCGCAAGGAAGCAGGCACTGCATTCGTCACCTCGAATAGAGTACGCAGTACGATGTGTTGCAGCTGGCTATGGACTGCAACGTTGTGGCTACTAATGCCGTCGGCTCAACAGGGTAAGAGCTTTCAATCCTTTGGGCAGCGATCGAGCAGGGTGCTTTTTTCCTGGTTGGTACGGTATCAATCTACACAGCACCCGCAATGTATTCTTCCATACAACAGAATTGGTTCTTCGATCAGCATGCCTGGCAAAGAGGACTGGGGAAACAAAGCAGTCAAAAGGCCTACTATGTCGTTGTTCGACTTTTCTGGCTGATGCCTATCTATATGATATTTCTACTTGTGCGTTCAGGACACCTATGTTCTGCTTGCCAAAAGTGGGACAAGTAACAGGCGGTTTGAAAAAGGAACGATTTGCTGCTTTTTATCATGCGTCTTGGAAATTGCAGGTGTTATTCCGTACTGCCGCCTGATATGACCGACAGCTTGGTGAGTGGGCAGGGGGAACTAGGATGGCACATGCCCACATACTACTTGTCCATATGCATGTGCTAGCAGCAATGCGTGCCGAAGAATCAGTCGCCAAAGACACGGGGGCTTCTTGAAAGGGGGGTTTGCTTCTGTACAGCATGGGTCCACAAAATGACGGTCATGAGCATTACTTGCGGAGGGCTTAAGCTGAGGTATGACGGCGAGTTCGCCATAACAGTCACCACGCGCATATGTATCTGCAGGCAAGGCTCTGCGAGCGTTGCAATGACTGCGGCGTCCCCATGAATCCATGAATCAGCAGCCTCTCACCGCTCATGACACGCCAGCTTTGGGGTTGCTGAACCGCCGAATGCCCATTGCCACGTTGGCAACGATCTTTGGGCTCCCAAGCCGGGACTTTTGGTTCCGTGAGACCTTCTCAAGCGGCTGCAGATCTTGTGGGTAGGAATTGGGCCAGCCAGACGAGCTGTTTGGTGTGGAGTTGGCCAGATAAGCAAGCTTCTCCTTTCTCTTTTACACACACTCTCTCTCGCATCCAGACAGGTGTCATTCACTAGCGTTTGGTGATGAAAGGAGGGGATGGATCATGGGAACAGAATCATCGTTGGTTTATTGGCTTCCTTTACTCCGTATTCAAGAACATGAAGGGATGCGCGGCAATCAGAGCTGCGGAGAAACCTGCTGGCTGCGCATGTATCCAGATTCAACGCGGCAATAAGAGTTGATACCGGCATTTAATCAGCATTTCCCAGGAAATTGTGAACCAGGACTGGCCAGCAAATCGAATGAATTGATGCCGCTGCGATGCTTGGAGAGCTCAGCAGGTATGAGGGGCTCAACACAACCAGGCCCGGCCGGCCCCCATGTTACGGTAGGCAGATACAACAGGCTGATAGGACAGCGACAACTAGACGCCACTCAAATATACGGGGATCCCTCGGATCTCGTAGCACTCCCAAGCGAATGCCCGGGAATGCTGCCGTGGTGCGACTTTTTAGTCCCTCAAAATAGGGAGACTGCGAAAGAATACGACAACGTGGTTGTCTTTTGATTGCAGAGCCCACTGTGGCCACCTTAGCCTTTTTGCCGTGGGTTCTATCTTGCTCGAGAATGTCCCAGACCCGGAATATCCGCAGAAGCTACATGTTCTGGGCACGCGAAATAACAACTTCAAATTAAACGTTTGGCCAGCATATGCTCTCTTATTATGGGACCGCAGGGAGGGCATGTCATACAAGCGCTGCGCGGACCGAAGGATGTGGCACTGCTTAGTTATTAGTAGCCGATGCCTCATTTACATCTACGGCAAGAGTTTTGAAAACTCCCTGGGGAGCAAATTGGGGAGATGGACGGAGAAGGAAGAAAGCCTGGGCAGTGAATGCTCCGCCTAACCGATTGTTTCAATCAGAAAATCTATTACGTATCGGCTATAACGTATCAGCTATGAGCTGCAGCCGACAAGCTTCAGTGTGATAGATACGCGAATTCTTCGCATTCTGAAAATCAAGGCGGCAACACGGCTAATCCCCTTTCCGACTTACAAGTATATGAACAGTATTATGTCATTGGCCATTACCACGCCCTGTATCCACACTTTCTTGGGGATATATGGGTAAAACAGCATGTTGTCTAGCAGGATAACTGGCAATGATTGGCTTGGGGGTACCAGTGATAGGTACAACATCTGGAGACCGCGGTAGAAGTGCTCCCGTTCTTGGTCCGCTTCTGTCCACTGAATCAAGACTTTGATCAGCTAGTCGTTGTCCTTGATGACTGTGCCTGAATGTGCCTAGCTTCCTGGCCTTGGTATCGACCAAGCGGGTCCATATATATTTGACAGCAGTTGCGCGGCAAACGCGAGCAAAATTTGGCCTAGTACCTACTACCGACAATAGCACTTCGAAGTACGAGGCTCGGCGAGCTGGGGGAAACATGAGTCGACCCCCTGAGCCTTGCGGACCGCTTCTGACATTAGTTTTCGTTACGAATGCATGGAGCCGTGAGCGGAACTATGGCAGGGGTCCCTGCCCTAGCCCCCTTTTGACCCGACACTCTGGTTCCACGGTCCCGACAGCTCGGATACGGCGTTTCTGGCTTAATTGTCCTCTCGACTCTGGCTTTATAAAGATAGCGAATGAGAAGCCCAGTGTCTACTCGCATGAGTGTTCGGGGCCCAGTTTTGGCGTTACTTTTATCCGCGGCAAGTCCGTTAAATTCGAGCCAAATTTGCACAAGATCCTCAGTGTTCTCGAAGCCCTGCATGTAATGCGGCTGGCCCATGAACGACAATGGAGTTTCATAAGCGTACAGAGGAGACAAGCTGGGGGGGCCCGACACCCGTGCATTTCTGATCTGACCGTGAGTTCATCTTCCCGACAAGCACGCGAATTTAGCCGAAGTCAGGCATGTTTTTTCGCTGGGATGACGGAATCGCCTTGCTATGATGTTCGGAATATATTACTCCAAGAAGGAACTTTCCAGTCAGACAACATGATGATTTTTCTTGACTTAGCTATTCCAGCCAACCCTTGTGCGATATCTCATCATTATCAAAATGACTTCCACGCCTTGAGAGCTGTTTTTGGGCTTATTGAGCTTTTGGCATTACCAATAAGAATTTATTCCCCTGGCCGATCAATAGCGGCCGATGAGACAAAGGCGCCAGGCATTTATCCTCCAGTCTTGACACAAGGCAGAAGCATAACACTGGTAGACGATTCTCGTTGAAATATATTACTGATGAACAGCCTATTTCAACTCGCTTGATATTCCGTACGCAAAATATAGAAGAATGCAATATCCGTGGTATACACGGGGAGCATCGGGCTTCAACTCCGTTCACACAACATTCATATTAGCCTTTGGCCTCGAGATCTAAAAAGGACATTTT